TTTTTTCTTTTCAGTGTACCATCAATATGAGTGACTATGAGCTTACAGATTCGGACTATGATTATGATGAAAATGAAAAGATTCTACTTCAGAGAGCTAAACAACCTACCCAAGATGATGAAGAAGACAGTGAGGTAACATTAATTTTGATTCTTGCTCTTCGTGAGTGCTTCAGAAGACATCATTCTCATTCATTTGTTCTTTTATGATATGATTGTAGGAGGAAGTATTAGGTTTTCAGTCTTCTGAAGAGGAAGGTGGAAAAGAAGACTTTGACGAGGATATAGAAAATTATGAAGATGACCTTCCCAACGTAAAAGCTTGGGGTCAAAGAAAAAAGATTTATTATGATACAGATTATATTGATCAAGATTTTGGAGGTAACACTAACAACAAATTCAATTTGCAGATTTTTTTGTTGATTCAAGGTCTACTATCTGAATTTTTTGTTGTAGGATTTCAGGGTCAGGATGCTGAAGATGCAGAGAATGAAGAACAAGAAGCAAGAGCTATCCAAGAGAGATTGCTTCAGGAATTGGATGAAACAGATTATATGCTTGATACTTTTGCCCAGGTTGGAAAGTAATTTCAAATATTTGAAATCTTAAAATCAAAATTTCCATAGGAAATTTGTATCATGCAACTGTCGCTGCATAAAATAACCTCTTTGTCTTGTTTGTTCTCTTGTCTTCCTTAAGTGTTGCATTTAATGCTCAAATCAATAATTGGGCTCAATTTTTTTTTTAAAAAACTATATAAAAAAAAATGTATGTGAAGTATGAGGAAGAAGTACCATCATAGCACATTTGAGCTCCAGAATCTCTTCCCAACATTTTATCTATAAATGGTTGAATGATAAATGAAAGTTTCATTTGAAAATTAGGACATTTTCACTCCCAAGGTTCAGAAAACTTATTTGCATCGATAAACAAACTGCATATTAAATTTTTTTTGTATTGATAACAAAATAGTAACATACGCGTAGCTCTACTCCTATCACTACTAGCGAAAGGTGAGCTTAACAAAATATGCACACAGTGAAGCTACATTCATGTCCAGAAGCAAATCGTGGGGCCGTCTCAGCATTTGCTGAATAGATCTGGGAAACTGAACGAAATCCTGATGGATATGGGGTCATTGGCCCGGAAGCTGAAGTACATGACCTGATACAGGCATATTAAATCATTTTTAAAATTATTCAATAAAATGTAAACTAATGAATTATATATCATTGTTAAAATAAATATTATTTTTATTTTTGGTGGACATTATAATATTAAATTGTATCGACAGTTATGCAGCCGATAAGATTTTACTTTTGACTTAAAGTTGTGAACCAATTTTAATGGATTAGTCTTCTGGCAATGTATTTTAAAATGACATACATGTATTATATGTGGATTTCTGGTAGTGGGCTGTTGAAACTGACACTTGATGTACATGATTTCTACGATGCGTGATCTAATCTTAAATATCAGAGTTGCATGAAAATATGTTCCCGTTGAGTCAGTTTGACCTGAGGTGGTGTGCTGCAGAAGTTTATATGCTCTTGTCAAGTCACATTACATCACAGTTATTCAGTGCCTTTTATCCCTTCAGTAAGGAGCTTGACACAGTTAGATCCCAGGGTTCCTAGCCAGTCACCGAACCTGGAAACAGCAAGTCTTGAATTCGCTTAACCTCAGTGACTTCACAGAGCATTGTAAATGATTCAGCTAACGGCTTGCTTTTCACTAGATGAGAGCTGATTGCTCCTCCCATCCACTTCTGTCAGACTGACTCAGCAGGTTGCACCAGTTGCCCACAGAAAGTAAGTGCTGGGCTATGGCTCACCTAGTGGGCAGGCCTGATTTAATGAAATGTTCACTTAGCATTAACAACTATGCAGGTGCAAAATATTAAGTGCAGTATGTTGGTTTATTTCCATGTATATTATCTCGAGTATTTTATAGGCAGATACTGTTGGTGAAGAGAAAGCAGAGGAGAAAATTAAAACAGATGTATCAGGCCTCAGTAAACGAGATAAACTTGCTCTCTTTGCCAAAGAGTCTCCTGAATTTCCTGGTCTGATAGAGGATTTTAAAGGTACTGTTTCTGAAGAGTTATGTTGATATAAAAAATTTTTGTGTTAAAAAGGATGGGGGAAATAATTAAACCTTGAAAATTTACCACGATATGTTAAGATTTTTCCCTCATTATTGCAATTTTTGTGGTTTGGTTATTTCCTCATTCTTATTCAAATGAATTACAGTAAAATCTGTCGAAGCTGGAATTGATTGGGACACAAAAAAGTTTTGTTTAGGGAGGTTTTGGTTTAAATAAGGTTCTCCATTTTTCACACATATTTTTGATGTTTCTGACCTGAAAGTTGTAAATTACATGACTTTATTATAAATATTAAAATACATTAACATATAACATATTTATAGAAGAAATCACCAATAAATGAACATTAAATACTCTTCATTGATAGTTTCTGAGTTGAAAAATATACACCTTACTCGCTGTATTTGGACTGCTTGCTGACTCAACGTTCAATATGTCACAACCCAATACCATGACTTTCTGATACACTCACATTGCCGTGATCAATGCATATCTGGTCAAGGGGTATTTCTATGTGGGACATGGAGGTGCCTGAATAGTAGCCATGCCCATACACCTTCCCTCGCTCAGAGAGTCTGGAGAGAAGAAATTCCCCTAAGCCCTACACCTTGTAATGTAAGAGACTCCATGGTTGATTCTACACTGACAGCTGAAGCCCCTCTCCATCAATGTCTTGCTGTGTTGACTAAATCGCGTGACACAGGGATACACAACTTAAAACAAGCTTGCAGATGCATTCATTTCTTTAAGAACATCTTGTCTCTGTCTGTCAATTGAATTAAATTCATGGGAATTCAGTTTTATGAATTTTTCCCCCCCTGCAGGACATAAAAATCTGTTCCGTTCACGTGTTGGAGAGATTCTATTTTATGCTTTGTAAAATCCTTCAAATTTAACTTCACAGGCCAGAGAAATTTTCCAGTTAAGACAGTTGTCCAGCTTGTACTGGTTCTGGGTTTAGACAGATTTTACTGTACAATGAGATAAGTTGCCACTACTTAAAAATTGTTTAAGTGTTTGCTTTATCACTATTGCGTCGTAGGTATCTTCAGAGATAAGTAATGTTTGAAATAATTAAAATTCTTGCTAACCATACAACGTGAATTAATAGTATGACTCACTCTACAAGAGACTCCTACAATTTATCAAGTAATGTTTAAAAAGAGAAATATCTGTCCCTGACCAAATTAAAGGATGCTTTTCAACTTTTGACATCATTTTAATTTCTGTGATCTTGCCATGTAGTAAGAAACATTATGGAATACTTAGTTCCTGAACCAACTAATAACAATGTTTCTAATGTGATGTGATTATTACCTTTATCTGAAAATTCACCCTGACTGAAAATATTTCGTAACTTCACAAGGGAGAGGTTACAAAGAAAAAGATATTTTCCAAGAAAGGCTCCTTTGACAATTCAAACCTAGGTAATTTAAATATCACAAATGCTCACCGATGATCAGGGTTCATTCACAAGGTTAAAAAAAAGAAAGGGATTCTTAATTTGATTTTTGTCATTCAGTCAAATAAAAATACTTCCTTACTGCTAGGTGTACATGTAGGGTGTCAAATGCCCCTCCCACTTTTAAAAGCCTCAAACTCTTTACATTCATTAGTGAAAACATACATATTTGTTAATATTATTGTTTAGGTAATGAAGTAGCACAAATTTCCATTATACTGTTGTTGTGTAATGTTCTTGTGCCTTTGTATTTGTTTTTTTTTGCATTTTATTGTGATAAAATAGGTGTTTTCTATACTTGCAAATGGAATATATTTTTTATTGTCTGTTTACTTCATTTTGTACTTGTAGCCCACCTATAGCAAGCATGTTTTAATTAAAAATGAGGTTTTTGTTGCTACCAACACTTGATGCTTTAAAGTGTGTAATAATTTGGTCAGGAACTGTATCATTGTATTCTAAATATTTAAAAGCCTTTTGAGAAAATCTTCGACATGCACAAGGAGATAAGTGCATCCATATTTATAATATCGCAAAATATAAGAATGAGCCACTTGATGACATTGTATGTTCATCTCAAGCTGCTTATTCCTCCTATGTATTATTAAACATCTCCAATGTGTGTTTATTGCTTTTACACGATTCTGTTACTTACATAACACTCCAAGTTTTCTTAAATGTGGATTAATTCTCCTTGAATTTAACCAGTCGTAGGTCAAGTCAAGTCGTAAGATTTCGCCTTTCAGCTCTTTCGGCCTGAGGCTCAATGCCTTTAGTATTGGGGGTTCCCAGGCAGTCACCCATCTAGGGACATATGACATCTGGAGCTGCTGAACTTCCGTGACATCGCTGAACTTGGTTAAGAAGTGCGGTTACTGGCACAAGCTTCCATGTCAATATTACATATTTATAATGTATTTACAGAAATATCTATAAACGTGTTTAAGGGGAAAAACAAAAATCATTTTGCACATTTGTTTTTATTTTTGAACAACATTGAACCATGTAAGAAATAATTTGATGGCTTTTTTACTATTTTAGAAAAGATGGCAGAAAGTGAAAAAAAGTTACAGCCAATTGTAGAACTAATTAACAATGGAAAAATTCCAAATTCACCAATATGCAAATTCATTAAGACCAAATATCATTTAATACTGAAGTAAGTTGAATTCTGAACTGGTTGAATTACTTTATTTACTAAAGGCATAGGACTAGTTATGTTTCATATCTTTTATGCTCTTTCTGTTGACAGTTATTCAACAAATATATTGTACTATCTGCTGTTAAAAGCTCGCCACATGCCTGTTCAGAATCATCCTGTTATCCAGCGACTTTTTCAGTACCGACAACTTTTAAAACAGTTAGAAAGTATTGACAAACGTGTTCAGTCTCAGATAGATGAAATATTGGAGAAGATAAGCAATGGAGAAGAAATAAAGTTTTATGATCCAAACAGACGTGTCAGGTAATGGCAAGAATCCATTTTGTGCATTAGTGAAGAAAAATTGTGTCAGAGAATTGATGATTAATTTTGTTTCAGTCAAAAGAAACGAGTTGACTTTGGTGATCAAGTTTGTAGTAAAGAATATGGTGAAGATGACGCAGATAAGATAAATAATGGTTTGGATGCAGATGAAAATGGAAACATGGATGTAGAAGAAGGTATGAAATCATATATTGTGGTTCTATGTATATATCAGGATAATTGTTATGTAATTATGAAGAAAATAACATTAATTTCAAATTTATTTTATTTTAAAAATATATTTTCCATTACAATTTTTATATACCTATTTTTAGACTGGCAGAGCAATACTTGGACTTTTAAATAAGTCATTCATTCTCAAATTTCCACACATTAAAAATACATACTGATCTGTTCAAATTATTTAACTCAGTATTCAGTTTTCAAATAATTTTATTTATCAAGCAACGATACACTATAAATTGTGTCTGAACCTATACCAAAAATAATGATAATGAGCTATTTTACACGTTTGCAATGATTAAAACATATAAATCTCTTTTATTAATTGAATAAAAAAAACTTAAATAGATTTAATGTAACATAGTATGTACTAATTTATTTTTCAAGAACCAAAAAAATTAATATTTACTATGTAATTCTATATTTTTTTTATTTAAAAAAAAAGTATTTCTGGCATATTTTCCACAAGTTTCATGCACATCAGCTTCAAATCAATGCCAATGAGCCCTAATGAATTGATTTCCTCAACCAACTGATGTTTGGTTGATAGGTTCTTTTTCAGCATATCCTTCATGAAGCTCCAAAGGTTTTCTATGTAGTTTGTGTCAGGACTGTTTACTGGCCTAGGATGTATGCTAAAATATTTTTCCATTACTAATTTTTTGACGTTTTAACATGGTGACAGGGTGCACTGTCGTGCATCAACACATACGGGTGTTCAATAAACCAGGTTGCTGCCTTTGCTAGGTGTTCTTCCTCAAGAGCTTTCTAGTATTGGTCTTGGTTCATTGTTCTATGATATAGAATCTCCCAGGATACATGGAAGACATGACACCCCACACCATAACTGGTAGTGAATGTTGAACAGTGTTATAGGAATTCAAATTCGAATGCCTCGCCAAATCAACATCAAATATATCTGGAACATTTGTCAGAAGTAGTGAATTATGATTCATCACAAAAACAGTTTTCCTGTTTTTACACAAGTGTTTCAGACTTCATGCCTACTACACACGTTTCTTTGCCGTTGCAGATGTAGTTTTTGCCATTTTCTGGAGCGGCGTGATATTGTTCCTCTCCACAGAGAATTACTTTTACACTTAATTCTCTACAATTATTCCCTCTTACTTCTTAATTCTTTAGAAGTAGCTTTTCTGTTAAGGGCTCTATTTTTCCCTCCTAATGAGGGATGTGACCTTAATAGCTAAACTGCTATTTCTTAAAGGTCAATGTTTCGTTCTTGTTTCGCAAAATAAGTAATTTCATTTATCCTGTTATTGGCTGTTATCGGTTGAAATTCGTAGTACGTATTGAAAATCAGTTGGCAAACTCGAACTACAACAAGGTTTCACAGCAACATTTTGGACTATAATAGTTTCACTCTAGCTAATAAGTTGTGATTAGAATTGTTCAATTTATAGATTCAGTAATAAATAATATGTCATTTATTACATTAACAGTGTCACAATATTTGTATATTTTATTGTGTAAAACTACAATAAAAGTTTGTTCCGTTCAAAATTAAATCCATCCAATATATGTTTGTTAACTCTTTCTTGTCCCATTGCTGGCCGTGATGAGATTCCACGGTTATTTCACGTTTTACTATTCGATTCCACAGAATGTCGCGTGTAATGGTGACCAGATTGTTGAGCAATATTCCATTATTGGACGGACAATGTATATTAACGTATAGAACATTGTTAAATTCCCTTCCAGATCTGAGTTAAATCCCAAGCGTCTTGTATTGCTTTGGATTCATCTTGCTCCACATGATTCGAGAACTTCAATTATTGTCGATAATTGACTGGCCGAATCCCTTGTACCGGATTCGACTTTCCCTCGAGTGTGTCCACTAAGTAATAAGCTGCAGGTTGTCGTTGAGGGAGCGAGATAGATATTTCACACATTTACAACGTCAGTTTAGGCCTATTCCTCAAACACCAACTTGGCTAAGTTCCTCCAATATCTTGCTGAAGAATGCGCATATCATCATAATCAGTAATTTTTCTAAATATTTTCAAATCATCAGCATAAAGTAAATAATCTGTTCGGAATTTATCACCCACAGTTTTCTAATATCTTTCGTTAATATACATTCAGTTTTCTCACATTCCAAAACTGACTCTACTATCTATGACTATTTGATTTATTGCAAGTCTCTTAGGAAATTTCCTCTCTGTATAGATAACTTTGTGCAGAAGACTTTGAGGGGGCAAGTTCCTTCCTCCTTCCCATTTCGCACCGTTAACATATAATCCTTTAAAAATCACATATTTACAATAAGCCTTCTCATTAACAACCCATTAAACTTATCTACCACAACATGCAAAGCCGGTGGTTAATTGCAATAGTACTGCTAGCTAATGTTTATTACTTCCACTTCATAAAAGGTGTGTTATTTAAAGGAAGATAGTAGGTTAATATCTAAATATGCTTTTCAGTGCTCTAGGAATCTGCTATTGTGTCATAAAATCAGAATTTCTGAATTTTTTGGTTGAGAGTCTAATAATTTGAACAGATATGTAAATAAACATGTTTACAATTGTTTTCAACAGTGTTCAAAAAAATAGCTATACTTTATGTTTTTTCCACAACTTAGTGAATAACACTCAGTTCATTTCATCTATAATATTTAGTTTTTCAATTGAATAGTTTACTGTAAATTTTTCTTCTGATAATTTTGATCCAGGTTCCCAAAATGAGAATGCTAGACGAGCAATTACTTATGAAATTGCTAAAAACAGAGGACTCGCTCCATATCGCAAGAAGGAACTTCGTAATCCACGTGTAAAACACAGAATGAAGTATCGAAAAGCCCAAATCAGGCGGAAAGGCCAGGTATGAAACAACAATGTTTATGGAAGATGATTTTTCAGGTTTTTGTAGATTTCTGATTGAGAGCTTATTTTCCCTTTCTTTTTAACAGATCAGAGAACCAAGAAAAGAATTACAGAAGTATGGTGGAGAAATTTCAGGAATCAAAATTGGAATTAATAAGAGTATTAAACTCAAATAATAATTTGTTGATCTTGGAATTTTTGAACGTCATTTATCAGTCATCAAATAACTCCTGCTCAACTTTTAAACAATACTCTCTTGTAGCTGCAATAATTTCCTTTGTGTAAATATGCAAATGTATTTGAGGGAAGTTATTAAATAAATTCTATTTTTTTATGAAATAGTATTTTAAAATGCAAAAATGAAGTTTTTCATTGTATTAAGAGGTTGAATTTCAACCATCTTAATTTAAAATATTGTTTTTGTATTCATTTATTGACAAATAGACTTCAGAGGCAGATGGTGCCCAGTAATTCAATATTAAATATAACGGAAATTTTGAAGAGCGAAAATGTGAATGTTCATTCCTTGAAATTATAATTAAATGTTTATTGTAGTATTGTTCTGTTATTATACGTAGAAATAATTTAATTAAAATTTGAAGTTAGATGTATTACTTTCACGTTGCAATAAAACATTATTTATAATATATCAGTTCATGAAAGATTTTAAATGCCTTAAATTATTTAAAATTTATTTTATGTACACATGCAATTGTTGTTTTTTTAAACAAGGGTAGGTTGTAATCTTCCAAATATACTAGGTAGCCTGTACTGCCCAGAATTTTTTTAAGATAACTCCTCCAAGTACATAGGTTCAGAGACAAGTATTTACATGACTTTGCCTTCAAGTGTCATTTTGTCAGTCTCAATTAGGATCCATCTTGTAGAGTTGAAAACATGGGTACAGAAAAAACACGCGATTGGTTTCCATAGCTGGGTAGGTATCTTCCTGTTTGAATCTGTGAACATAGGTTCTAAAACATCTTGTTACCCATCCGAAACTGTTTGAAATAATTATTTATCTTCCTGTGCTTCCAACTGGCCCATGATTCAACCAGAAGAATTAGACAGTAGATTCACTTTTCCTTGTATGTCTTGTTGCTGCCGATTTGCTAGTGCTTCCAAGCAGTTTTGTCACTTGGTGGGTGGGTGTTTTTTTTATTTACTATAATACCTGTGACATTTACAAGGCATATTATCTATTGGGGGCATTCCTATGATACAACTTTCACTTTATACAATGCAGATTGCATAACCTACCCTTAGAGCAGATAGTTGATATACTTACACCATTCCTTGTACTTAGGGTGAGGATTCCTATGCACTAAAATTTCTGAAAATATGCTTAAAAAATGGGAGAAATATGCATTTAAAAAGAAAAATATACACAAACAAAAAGGAATATTTTATTATATTGAATATACATGAAATTGTTAATTATAAATTTGTAATTCATATTATAATCAAATTAATTGTAAACTAATGTTTTTATTCCTCTACATTTGATTTTGCGCTGCTGCTCGAACATGAGAGTAAAAATATTTCTGGCACCGCTTAGTTATTAGAAATGCTTCTAAATTAAATTACAATAACGCATTTTTCAAGACATCTCTACTTCTTATTCTTCTTTTGAGTTAGGGCTCCATCTCCTGGTGAATGTAGGCGATCCAGATCTCCTTGTTTTGTTTCTGAATCCATGGCATGCTAATTGCGCGGAATGTCACAGCTACACAGAATGCAGCAGTGTATTCAAAATTGAATGTTGCTTGCAGTTCTTTCTCATAGAGGTGAACATTTCTTATATTCTTATAATAAAATGCTTCTTTTTAGCTTTACTCATAAGTGTGTAGTAGGAGATAATAGGAAGTCTGGAGCTCAAAAAGGCATGCAGCTGCATACATCATTACTGAACCATCATAAACTATTGAAATTTTATAAACGACTCAATAAATATTATGATGATGATTATTATCAGTATATTTATTATTATTATTATTATTATGCCTGAGATATTAAAAGCAAATGAAAGCAATTTCACTGCATTCCGAATAAGCAACCTAGAGGGTACAAAAAGACCCAAACATTTTATGTTAAAGAAAAAACTAAGCATGAAATGTAATGCTCTAAAGAATTTAGAATGTAATGAAATACATTCTCAATGTGGACTGATTTAAAGTAAATTTAGATAATGTAATGTCAGAAAGGAATAGAATTCTCAAGGAAACGAGGTGAAGCAGTCTGTCCTATGTCAATCATTTATGGCATGTAAAGTAACCTTTATCTTAAAAGATGCATCGCAAAATGTGAAAAAGCCTTTTCTGTTAAAAAAATAATGCCCTAGATCAGTCAAAAAGCTGTATTTGAACAGACCTGTCCTATCCTGTAAGAACTGGTTTAAGGAACAAGTGTAACATTGTGAATTAATAGCTAATATGAAGCTCACGAGATCTTGAGACAGAGTCCTGCTTGATGGTCATTTCTAATGAATGTATGGGTCAAAAGATTTCTACGGAAAATAATCATGAACTTTTAACCTGTCCTTTATTTCCAGTATTCCTTTCATTGCTACTTACATGTTTCCTGATATTTCCAAACTCCTGATATTTTCCTTTGCTTCCCTGATTCTCCTCTTAGCCTTAATTTCAAAATGTTTAGGAAATGTGTTATCATGTCCACAGAACAATTAGAATAGGATAGGTTCTCGCCACATTTTGGTTGAAAATAGTCAGGATTTGAACCACGTCCCTTCAGGTTTTGACAGACAAACTGAACTTGAAAAAAATATTAAATTTGGTTATTAATGGAATGTGTTGGGTTTTGATAGCCAATGTCTCATTTATAATTAATTATGAGAAAAGATTACTGAAGAAAAAAATAGTTCAACTCATAATAATAGAACAAGCTGTAATATTCTCCCAGATGTTATTCGTAGGCAAAAACAGAGTACAAATTTCAATAAAATGTACAGATAAGTGTATTCAGTTCTTTCTAAATATACAAAATGTCACACAATAACATGTGCATATGTACATATATTTTACAGTTCAAGGATCATATTATAGACTCCACTACATTAACCTTCGCACTATAATTTTACAATGCAAATTTACAATAATAAAAATAAAAATCAATTTCTGACATTTGGAAATATGCATATAAACCAAGCAAATGACTAAACAGTTTTTCATAAAAATTTAATATACATGTTGGGTAATTAAAACATTTATATCCTTCTCCAATCTGCACATTTAGTGTTCAATCTTCTAACTATGATAGGAAGATTAGCCTACATCCCAGCAGTAGCATTCACAATTTTCAAGAATTCAGGTTTTAAGGAAGCACCACCAACTAGGAACCCATCTATATCTTCTTTCTTTGCAAGTTCCCGACAATTTTTTTCATTCACAGAACCTCCATAGATTATTCTAACACTTTTTGCAACATCAGGACACACATTGTCATTCAACCATTTTCTTAATTTCTTATGAACATCTTGTGCCTGAAAGGAATTTTATACAAATTTTTATACATAAAATTAAAAATGAAAGCTTTTTTTTTCTTTCCTAAAAAAAACAACAAAATTACCTGCTCAGGAGTGGCAGTTTTACCAGTTCCAATAGCCCAAACTGGTTCATATGCCAAGACAATTTTGTCCCAATATTCAAGACATGAAATTTTCTCTACAATTGCTTTTGTTTGACGAAACACTACAGTTTCTGTCAAATCGTTTTCACGTTCTTCAAGCTGCTCTCCGATGCAGGCGATTATAGAAACTCCGTTCTCCACAGCATGTGCACATTTTTCTGCTATGAGCTAAAAATATTTATCATTAATTCTGTTATATTACTCAGAACAAAGCATTATAAGAAGTATAAAGGTTAAAGCTCCTAACCTCATCAGATTCCTCAAAGATTGTCCTCCTTTCAGAATGCCCCAAAATAACCCATCGGCATCCAACATCTTTCAACATTGCCGGGCTTATTTCTCCTAAAAACCGTTTGTACATTAAAAAAATTAATAGAAAATGTCCAGTATTTTCGTTGCTGAATATTATAAAACTGTCACAGCAATGGTAACAACTTGCCTGTGAATGCTCCCTTTTCTTCTTTGTAACAATTCTGTGCAGATATAGCAACAGTTGGGGGTAATTTCTTACTTGCATAATCGATATACAATGCCGGGGCTGCAACGACGACTTCTGCAATATTCGGAATGTACGTCAATATTTGAGAGATAAGACAGTTTAAAAGATGAAAAAAAAACACAATATATACACAAACTTAATTACATACTTACCAACATCAGGATTTAAAGGCCCACAAGTCAGAAATCCAATTATTTCATCTATATTATGCAGGCTCCCGTTCATCTTCCAGTTGCCCCCAACAAAGAATCGTCTCTGCATTCTCCAGCAGGTGCAATTGAATCCTCCTAAATTAAAACAGTGAGATTCACTCACAATTCGTATGAAACGTCAAGAAACTACCTAAGCTCTCAACACCTCTCAATCACAGACTGCTGTACTGTCCGTCCCACACTTGACCTCTTATGATGCACGCATACACTCACACACAATCTCAATGACCTTCGTCAAGGGCACAAAAGTCAAAGATGGATTAAGATCTTCCGTTATTGACAAATGTTAGATATTGAGATACAGAAAAAACACAGTGAAGAAAATAAAAGCGCAAAAGACATGTTGTTCTATCATAAATTGTATTTAATCTTTTTCATCGATTATCAGTCAATAAGCAAGGCAATTTCACCCACGGGGATCATTGAATGATAATTATCATTGTATTCAATAACAAACAGATTATGCTTGGGGGATGACTTTCGAACTTTTTTTCTGATACGGTTCTTCTCTAATAATAGGGAACATATAGAATTGGTTGTAGCTATCATATTTATACAAGGAGTAAATTTTCATTCAGCAGTCCCCTATTTATTTATTTTCACCTGCCGTAATGGAATTATACTATTACCATACCTCTGTTAGCCATTTTGATCTTCGATTTGTTAACTGCAATTTCAACATAAAATTTAGAATTTATTTGTCCTTAATTTTTTTTAAAGGTGAACATTCAAAAATGAAACGGTGCTAGGTCGTCATTTCAAGTTGTCAATTGTTCCTTGTTTGTAAACACCTACACCAGGTTTTCAGGATTGATTAAAAATGACGTAATAATATGAAAATTGTAATGGTATTGAAATGTCAACACACTTTGAACCTTGCGCCAAAGTCGAACAATTTTTTATCTGCACGACAATCTGATATCTATTGGTAAACGAATGAATAACTTTTAAGTATCACATATTGAACTGTAGATAAACTGCAATAATATAATTATATAATATTTATTTTTGACGAAACAGTCAACTCTGATTATTGAATTACATTTTCTAAAAATAAAATGTGGCACGTATTATTCGTGCGACTTGTCACGCAGTGGTGCGGGGAGAGGAGGCTACTGCTTATATTGCGATTTATGCAATTCTGCCTCTAGCGGGTAGCAACTGTTGAGTGTTTTATCCAATCGGGAACTTAACCATCGCCCTAGTGACGTCACTATGGTGATGTAAAAGATTCCGATTGGATGAAACCGTATGGAACCGATACCTGCCAGACGCAGAGTTGCGAAAATCTCTGGGCACATCACATCAGACGCGTTGCCAACTGTAACTTTATTAAAATTATTCCCCTCTTTCGCGCTTAATATAACAGGACATTACAGACGATAAATTAGAATTAATAATCAAATAAGAAATAACAACCACAAATGAAAATAATTAGTGAATGATAATATTGCTTATCAATAAGATTTGTAATTGGTGTCGTTACTTGCCATCTTAGGAATCATCATTTAGATTCTCAGTTGTATTTATTTTGGTGTCATCCACAGCGAATTCCATTATCCCATCTTTTTTCAGTTTCCTTCTAGTTTCTTTGCATGGCATAAAATAGCAAGAAACAGGACACTGTAAGAACGAGCGAAAACGCGACAACTGAATTCATTCGGAAGAAAGGTAGGCAGCACTGATAATCTTGCCGTTCCGTCCCGTGTGAGACCAAGGTTTTGTCCGTGCTGAGTTGTGCTAGGCTTCAAGAAAAGTCGCGCGACTAATATTTAATTATTTGCTGTCATCCCTTAAGCAGACAAATCAAGTTTGAGAATAATACATGGAGCAAACTAGTGTTGCTTCAACAGTACATACTTACTCGTAATAGGGGAAATAGCAACGTAATATTTAAACCATGGAGCTATGAATACATGGATTACCAACCTCTGCCTTGTTCCGCAGCAGTGATCTCTCTGTCTGTCTATCTGTCTCTCTCTCTCTCCCTGTACGGTAATAAAGTTAATATTGCAAAGAGTAGGGTTGTACTTGCCCGATCTTGGATTTTCGCATGGACAAATTGACGTAGCTTTCTTTAGAGTAAAAAGTTTTTCTATTATTTTTGTGACTATCAAGGAAAGCAAAAAGCGTGAAAACAGAAAAAACTCAAATTTAAAATATCAGAAATATTACATTACTAATGTGCTTCTAATTGTAAATGTGCCATTTTTGCCTTTGAGATTTCTCACATGATCTCTCACTAAAAGTATGCAAATTAATACAAACATTACACTACTAAAATTCTAAAAGAGAATGTGTTGCACTAATTATTACAAAATAGAGATATTGTCAGGTATCAATATTTTAATTCCACTAATGATCATTTCGATCGCGTAGCGATCATCCTCAGAGCTAAAAACAATACAAATATACAATGTGAAATATTAACAGGTTGGTTATTGTATACAAGATGCGTAAGCAAACTGGATCGTACATACCTTGCAGCTTCTGGGCCGAAAACAAAGTTCTGCGAATTTTTGAGCGTGTGTCTTCTTTAAGAGAACAGCCGGTCGGCAGCGGGAGGAGGCGGGAAGAGGGGTGGGGTGCGGGTGACGGGTCGTAAAATGTGGGGGTGCTGGTGGATGCTTGAGAGACGGTCGGGCGAGCGAAGGTTAGTGGGGTGGGGAGGGCTGGGGGTGGGTTAGGGGTGTACACTTTGTGCTAATTTTAGCAGAGGTGAAGAGAGATTTATCAAAATGAATAAGGTATCTACTTCACCAACAATCCAATTAATATTACAAAATATTCTCTGAATTAGTTTTGTCATAAAAGTCGAAGTCTGGCTAACGTACCAACTATATGATTAGAAAGAGAACTTTGTCTTAGCGCACTGTTACTTTTTTATTTTACCATTTCCTTACATAAACATGAAGTACTCTCGTCTGAAATCCAAAGCACCCCACCAGGGCCCTACAGTTTTGAATTTGTAGATGCGCCAGAAATACAATTGAGGCCAACATTGTACATAACTTTCGGGTTTCTTAGTAGACGACGTCAAAAAATATTTGTAAGTGCACAATTCACTTCTTTTAGGTAAGGTGGAAAAGCTGCTAAAATTGTTGGAACGGCGAGTTTCCACAACGTACATATCATAAAGAACTTCTATCAAATTTTCTTCTTGTAAATGAACCGAGCGTAACTTGATGTATATACTACAATACTGGCAGCGTATAAGCGACTCTGATAGTTCTCTCACCTCGTACCGTGTGGTACGTCATGTGACCTACTCTGAAGCAATCACTTTATGAGGAGTTGCTTACTTTCTTATAATCAGGGTTCAGCGTTGCCGTTTATCTGACTCTCACGAAGTCGCAGAGGCGATAAAGTTCGGCTTTGACTAAAGTTATAAACATGATATCAAGATGTATCATAATCTGTCAATAAGCGTTAATGTTTTAAGATATAATTTATCTGTGATGAAGGTGGTGCCATATGCGTAGAAATGTGCTGCCAGAACTGTAGGGTGCCAGTTGTCTTTTCACACAACTAATTACAGTACTCTCCTATTTGGTATGAAGAAGAAAATCACGAAGATTAACCAATATCCAAATTTTACCATGTTCTTCAAATCATATAAAGTAACTATTTACACGAGAAAATTAATTCATGTCTTCCCCGAATGATTTGCACAGTAAGCCACACAAATAACAATGAAGAACTGTTCGAAAACTTGTTAATCTGATCAAGGCTTATAAATATTAAAAACTATGACAAATAACACCTCAACACGAGGGCACCTACAAGGCTTTCGGGCACAGCAATATGGCTTCAAGTTCGTGACGTCATGCCATATCCCTGTATTCTTAGCTCCATGATTGAAATACTGCATTTTCTGCGCTATTAACATCTCAGCTATTATTTGTAAACGTCCAATTTAAATAAAGATCATGTGATGCACATCTGCATTCCTTCCGATAGGAGCAGCAATAATTTCTTACCTTGACAAATGAAACAAACAGGAATACATTTGACTGTAACAGTATTCGCAGCAAATTATTCATAAGCGAACAACGCAATGTTGACAGCGCAGCGTTATAAAAACTATGTGCATTCGCTTGGCGAATAATACCAATTCTTGGCGAAAACGCTAAATTCCGTCTGTATTCAGATTTTAACTTGTTTATGGGTTAGTCATAGTACATCATACACAATTGATAAATAACTCTAACACTAACAAACTACCTAATTTTGTTCTTTATTTACATAAAAAGAAGTTAAAAACTGTGTGTGACGTGATATGGGGAGAAGTTAATTTGAAGTTACATTGATGTCCAGAAGCAAAACAAGGGGCCATCTCAGCATTTGCTCAAGGATCAGAGAAACGATGAAAACCTGATCGAGATGGAGGCCATTGACCCAGAAGCTAAAGTACAATACTTTGTTCTGGTTCTTTAGAAATATGCAATCCAAATGGTATATAATACATTAAATGTCATTTAAAAATTAATATTACTTTTCTTTTGGATACTTGGTATAGTCTCTAATTGTATAGAATTGTGCAGCGGAAAGATATTACTTGGAACTTAAAACTTTGCATCGAATTTAATCGTGTAATGTCACCTGGCAAGGTGTTTTAAAATAATGTATATGTATTATACGTGAATTTTTGTAGTGAGATGATGATACTCTCACCCGATGAATATGATTACTACGTCGTGTGTTATAGTTGTCTATGAAGAGTATTATTTCTCTGAAGTTCTGCATGAGAAAGAAATGCACACATTTCTGACAAAAGTATACGGCCACAGGTAATTTTCAATTTTGCCATTTGAATATGACTCGTGTTCGACCAAAACAATTATTTTTCTTCCTCAGCCACATTTTAGAAATGATTTAAAAAGTAAATATTTGTCTCGCAACTAAAATCTTAAGTAAAGGTTTCTCTTTTTTGTTCGGCTAAATTATTCGTGATCAGTCTTTCCATTTCTGTACAAAGAACTTTCTATTACTTCGAAGTAATTTTTATTTTTAAGAGATGTTGCTATGCCTCTAAAAATAGTATATATAAAGAATAATACGATAGTATTTTCACAGTATATATCTGTTTTATCGGTTAGGAAATATCAAATTTAAAATTTCCCGCCTTTCGTAAGTGCTCGTGAAAATTTGTTTGTAATCCTTTTTAAAAATGTTAGAATTACTTCAACGAGATACCGATGTAAGTTTCGTTAATTTTTGTTTTACACAGCACGTGAAAACTAAAGTAGGTTCTGATTGATTGATTTTGTTCTTCCCGTAATATTTCTGAACGTAAACCTTTCGCATTGTTCTTGTCATATGTTTATACGCCATGTTTACTATGGCTCCACGGAACGTACTCCCGCCAATACGCATGCGTGGTGATGCTTTGCGTTATAGGTAATAAAATGGTGCTTTCATTAATATTTATGAAAGAAAAACAAAGTGATATTGGTATTGTTGGTTTAGTTTTGGGAAAGTAAGTGTTGGGAGGGTTGGTTTACATTTGGGTGATGGACTTTTTCAATTAGAAATGGCGTAAAGAAAACTACAATCATGAAAAACAAGCGACTTGCTGAGTGACGCTTGTACAGCAAAGGCATTTTAATCCCAGTATGAAGGAAATGGTAGGAGGTTGCTGTGTTTGTTCGGATGAGCGAGGGTGGGCTGAGAACCCCCTCGTTTATTGTGATGGTCAGGGATGCACTGTGGCTGTTCACCAAGGTGAGATAATTGAGCTCTTTCTATTGATTGAATAGACTTTCAAATTTGGCCTTTGATAACTGTTAAAACATATAAGGCTATGGTACTAAAATCCTATCCCTGGTTTGATGTATTGTATAAAAGCCCACGAATAGAGTATTGTTAAAATGTCAAAAATGTTTGTTTTCATAGCTTGTTATGGAATCGTGACAGTTCCGACTGGTCCATGGTTTTGCCGGAAATGTGAATCGCAGGAGAGAGCAGCAAGAGTTGTAAGTTTCTTACTGAGATATATTTTTTAGTATATCAATGAAAAGATAAAAATGGACAAGCTACCTTTCCAGCTAGATCTGTCCATTTGCATATTTACAGTGATCCTTCTGGAGAATGAAGTTACTTTTGTTGTGGTACAAGGTTAAAAGAAAATGATTAGCTTTTCAAGAAAGTAATTCACACAGTTCTTTTCCCTGTTATCTACAACTCTATTTCTGGTATCATTGTCATAATAATAGATATTGGAATTAAGTTAGTTGATTCAGAATTTTTGCGAGTTTTTAGGATGTTCTTATAGAGTTTTTGACAAATTGTGATTAGTGAGGTATGTATTGTATTGCCGTACTTACAAATTGTTTTTTCATATTGTGTTACAGTCATAAAGGTTTTCTAATTGAACGGATTGTTTAAAGAAAGTAGGAACCTACAATAGGACTATTTAAGTATGAAAAGTTTGGAATAATTCTAACTAGTGAAATAAATTAGCTTTAATTAATTAATAATTAAAAATGAAGAATGGAATGTGGATAAACACGAAATATTCAGCATCAGAGCAGAGTGCGTATTTTGTGGTTCAACCTCTAGAAGTCGAGGGAGTTAACTGGGGAGCAGCGGTTATTTTTAAATTGGGTTGAACATTGGGTATGAATTCAATAACCAAATTTTTGAAAACTTGATACAAATTTATAATCATACATTCAATATTTCCTTTCTTCTACAGCGATGTGAGCTGTGTCCAAGTCGAGACGGTGCTCTTAAGAGAACAGACAACAATGGCTGGGCTCATGTTGTTTGCGCACTTTATATACCTGAGGTTCGTTTTGGAAATGTGACTACAATGGAGCCAATTATTCTTCAGTTAATACCTACAGAACGATTCAGCAAGGTATTTTTATTTCTTTTACGTAGTGAGTTTGGAGACTAGACAGTGGTGCACTCAGTTATTCTCATTAGTGGTCCAGTTCACGAGAACATAAGTCTCTAATTTTTAAGGAACTTGTCACAGTCTCTTGTCCAAATTTCTACAGTAAAGTGAAGGATAGAAAACTTTGAGTACGCTAGATGAAAATATAATTAATGAGTGTTAACGTTAACACATGATATTTTGGATATTGTTAACATACCTAATGTGTTAATCTTCACCATGTGTGACAGCAATGGACCACTTAATCCTGAACTGTCAGTCTCTTGTCTATTAATATATAAGTATAAGCACACCAAACTTATTTATTTCATCAGACCTAAAGGACTGTTACTTTCTTTTTATTTCTATTTTGGACTGTCAAACCTTGACAATTCAAAATTGTCCTTCTATTGAGGAAACCTTTGTAAATTGAAAAAAGTTATCGGAGGTGTCTCGCTTGTAATATAAACATTTCAAACATTCACAGTCTTTGTTACTGCAAATTATTAAAATTGTGGGTGCAAGAAATATTCATTTGAATTGTAACCGTTAATTGTGAATGAAAGATTTGAGCTGTAAACTGTTAAGGGATGGCCTTCAAATTTGTCTGAGAAATACTAGCAATTATAAAGTCTTTTATGAAAGAGTATTATTTATTCATAAAATGGGTGAAAACTTTAAGAAATCTAATTTATTAATTTTTTGTTTTTTCTTATTGTAATACAGATTTTGTTCTTACTTTCTTGAAAACTTGAAATATTCTGTAGTTCTGAATCTTTACGGTGTGAAGCTTTTTCTTTTATTTGTGAATTAGTGAAATTTAACACTATTGAGTATTTTTTGTTACTTTTACTAAAAGTACCTTATCTTATTTGCATTAAGTTAGTTACTTTTTTGTTTATGTATTTTTTAAAGACAAATTTGAATGTCTTTGGTGTTACCACTTCATAAACATATTCTTAGTGATGCCATAATGTGAAATTTAAAATAAATTGTTTATACGATAAAAATATGATCATTTAGCATCATTAAGTTTTAAAGAGCATCCCATTTCTATCAGTTCAATGTTTATTGCTAATTACTTTAGTTTTCTAAGACTGAAATTTCCATGAGAGTAATCATTTGTCTTTCTGAAGGGTCGGATATGTCTTTTGCATGAACTGTGTCATTGGCATAGATAACTTTGCATGTTTTGGGAAAATCACTGCATTCCATAAAGTCTTATCAACTGTATCAATAAAAATGGAGATATCAATATGATTGGTTATGATTTACGACTTTGTAAAAGGAAACACATTCTCTATGTTTTTGTGCATTACCTCTGAAATAACCGTCAAATGACATAATGAAAAAAAGAAATGTTTATATGCAGTTCTTTGTCATTGACATGGCAATATAAAATATCATAAGATGAAAATTATTTGAAAACTAAAACCTCTTTGAATTTAGATACCTATGTATGTGTCATATGCCTATTTTCTTTAAACATATTGCAAGGCATGGCTTTGTTATAGTCTAATTTCTAACTTAGTTTATTTGTCAGGGGACTAAAGGTGTTCATTTTTCAGGTAAGCATAGGTGTCCAATTTAGGTTTCAGAGCTTCATTTATTCTTTCCCATTTTTCTTTTCATTTTGTTTGTTTTGAATTCTAAGATTGGTTTTGGTTGCCAAGAGATATTTTTCATTCAGTTCAGACATGTTTTCTCTGTAGTTTTTTAACAATTATTTTTCAGTTTTTCTTGACGTAATACAAGAAAGCTTTAATATCAAAATGAATTATGGTGAACTATCTTGTTTAATTTTTTTCTTTTTCAGTTCATATTACTTTCTTTTGTTTGTTATATTTTTCTGCTAATCTATGAAATTGTGAAAAAATTGAATAGTGAGCAGTTTAAATTGAAATACTTTCTGGAGATACTAAATAGGACATGGTGGTCTGGATGCCCCTTTTCGGAATATTTTGTTTATTTGTGCCCTGGTTTTTAATAGTCATTGTGTCATGAATGGATATTTAAACACTGTGTTTCTTTCAGGTTTGTTATATTTGTGAAGAACAAGGAAAAGGCTCAAGGGCTATGATAGGAGCTTGTATGCAGTGTAACAAATCTGGTTGCAAACAACAGTTTCATGTTACGTGTGCACAAGCATTGGGACTGTTATGTGAGGAAGCTGGCAATTATTTGGATAATGTCAAATACTGTGGATATTGCCAACATCATTACTCAAAGCTGGTATTTAAAATAATTTTTTTTATTTCTTAATTTCATTAAGATATGTTTAGAATATAAAATGTAAAATGTTTTAAATGAAATATTGACATTCAAAGTTGGTGATCAATTTTAATTTCTACAGAAAAAAGGAGGTAATGTGAAAACGATTCCTCCTTACAAACCAATTCCAGCAGATAACGGATCATCTGATTCATCACCAGAAAAGGAATCTGAATCCGTGATGAAACAAGGCTTTGGAGGAAAGCGCAAAAGCGGTGGAAAATCCAACCTTGTTGGAGGGAAAAGTGTAGGCAAAGTGGGAGGACACAGCCCTGCAGCCGGAGATTCTTCGTCCGTTAGCCCTGATGTGATGGGAGAAAGTAGTAAAGGGCCTAGTCCTTCCTTTGGCAAGGATCTTGCTGGCACTGGCGGTAGTAATGTGACGAATGCAGTTGCTGGAAACTCAAAGTTCTCTACTTCAAATTTCATCGAGAGTGTGATGACACAAGGTGAGAGTGCATTTGGGACTGATGTTTCACAACAGCACCCTCGAGCTTCTGTGCCTCCTGCTTCCGGTCCCATAGGCAAGAAACGCAAAACAGGAGGAAACCGGAATCCAGTCGTTGCTTCTGATGTATCGTCAGAAGCTGGCTCGGCTCATTCCACTGTTGGCCCCTTAATAGTTCATCCTTCTAATTCTGGAAATGCATCTTCATCAAATCACCTGTCACCAAATGTTTCCCATGATTTGGGTAGTGTAAATTCATATGCCGACCCTAAGAAATCAAAAAACGACACTAACCACTCGGGAGGATTTTCCAATATGACCCACCCACTAACAACATCAGAATCTGTTGTGGTTAACAATGTAATAAATAGAACATCTTCAATATCATCCAGTAATGTAATAACGTCAACTGCTAGTACACATCCAATGACAACTGGGATCGTGGTATCTGTGCCCTTGACAGCTGCATCATTGCAACCGTCGGTTCAGGTCCTGCCTCCGGCAGCAGTTGTCACTACAGCCAGTCCTGCTTACCAGCAGACATCTGTTGTTGCTGCCTCTGGTGCCAATGGGGCTGTGCCTGTCCCGGTTGCAACCACCGTCGCTGCACCTGCATCTGCTGCTGTTCCCTCTAGTACAGTTCCTGTGGTTCCTTCAACTTCAGTCGAGCCTGTCTCTGGCAATAGGCCAGCAGGAGTAGGCCAAGAGGAGCTTCCTCCGCCAGGCAAAAGAGCAAGGTATTTGTCTCATGTAGGAAGGTAAATCTTTTAATGCATGCTTTGAAGGGCATTGCATGGATGTTGTGGCAGACTTGAATTTCGAAATTGTGAGTAACTTTTGTAGATTGCAACAGAACATTTTTCTTAATGCCCTACTTGGGAGAAAACATCCATGTGAACATGCAGTTTCTTTTTGGATGTTCTAATGAAAATAGTGCATGCTGAAACACTTCTAGAACAATTATTTTCATATTTTGTGTGGTAATTTCTTTTTTATCTGTTCCGAAATCACAAGCTTGTGCAGAATTTTGACCTTGATTACATTTCTTTGTCCTTTCAAAATTTATCGAAATGTTTACCATAAAATAGGAATATGCAAGCTGGAGGTATGAATTTTGGGTTATTATCATATAACATTAACATTCATAATAAATATTTTAGTTCCTCCATTGAAGGGCATTTCATGACATATTTGTTGACGCAAAGGTTTTGTCAGAAAATATTTGTGGGTTCCATGATTTTGAAACTTGAATAGTATTGCAATTTTCCAAGATTAGCAAAACCACTGAGTTAGTTTGAACAGCTAACAATTAATCAGTTTTTAGTTACCTATAACAGGCCTGGAAAAGTGCAAAAAAGTTAGAGTTGAGGTTTTGTAATAGGGTTTTTAAAAACTAAAGGAGGATTGGTGTTGGAATGTTATTTCCTGCTTAAAATTTGCAGTCCTACTGTAATATTTATCCAAAATGTTGCAAAGCACTGTGAAAATAGCGGTTTTACAATTTGCCTGATGGATATCTCTTAGTGTGGTAGTGTTGTACACGTGTGTGTGTTAAAATCACTGTAAGAATTATATTCATCACGAAACATGAAGAGTGTCAGAATTGATGGATTTGTGAGATGCCTTCTATATATTGTGAATCTGAAGTACTAAATTTATATTTTAGAACTTGCAGTGGGTCTAGTTTAGATATTCGTTGTGGTTTGCTAGGCATATTCACATGGATGGTGATCAATGTAATCAGATCTTAGTTCTCTGTGTTCAATTCTGAAATAATGACAGCTACGTATAGTATATTGTGTACTATGCATAAATTGTTTTTTCTGTAGATTCTACCATCTAGCGACTTTTTTACAACTGATAGCTGAACCCTTGAAAAGTAAGGAGTCCGGTGGAGATGATAAAGCAGTTGGAGGACCTTACCTTAGTTCCTTGCATTGGGGCAAAACTGCACATTGCAGTTGATAAACCTGTTGCCACCTAAATTGTTTCCCCAAGTTCCAAGCACATTGTTTTTATAGACTGCTAACATACAGCATGAGTTCAGGCCCAGCAAAGCTTTGTGGAGAAATCTGAACCAAACAATACTAATGATCTGTAGATTGGGATTTGTGCATGTATTAGTGAGTTGGGACTCTGATACATGAGATTTAGAGCTATGAATGAATGTATTTCATTGTCAAATTCTTTATTTTTAAGAAACATCTTTAAATCATTAACAGAAATGATACTGTGCATATGCTTTACATTTATGTTGCTGTTCATGAATTCTATAATTGTGATTAATCTCTGTTTTTAATGAACTTTTATTGTCCATTCATCTTTAATACCAAGTACATAAAATGTGACATGTTTATTTTAAGCATCATAAGACTGCTTATCATTCAAGTGCTGCTTGGCTGTGCGGGAGTTGCCGTGTCCTAGGCACAGGTGCCAACGTTTCAGGCACCATTCTGCGATCTTTCTCGGGGCAAAATGCACCATTTGCATTTTGCCTTGAGGAAGATTGCAGAATGGTGCCTGAAACATTGGCACCTGTGCTTAGCATGCAGCGTCTCCTGGAGAGCCAAGCAGCTACAGACTGGCCACGGAAGCCTACGCTGTCAGCTTATCATTCAATTTGGAGAGAGCAGAAATGTTAATACAAAAGAAAACTAAATTATATTGCTTTGAGAATACTGTTGAAGTTGATTTAAAAAGTATTCAAATAATATCAGTAAAACAATTAAATTGTTTATGAAGCGCAGATGTTATTCATTAACCTCAGGATTAAAATAATTCCATTTCTTCCTGTCCTCATCTACTGTACATAACATCTGTGGCTCATAAATAGGTATTGCCCTTCTGTTAATGTTCTTAAATCCATTCCTGCATTGTGTCCGAATGCATAATACACTAAGATGGAAAAGCCAAGAATTGCAGGCCACAATTGATAGATCATCACTCATACTTAAATCATACCCTTGTTAATTTTTCTTTATTTTTGAAGATACTTTGTGCATGCAGTTTTTACCTGCTTCTGCTGTCATAACATAAAACATTGTATATCTATTTTTATTACAAATGCTTACAATGCTACCAATCAATACACTTGAGAACATAGACTAGAAATGACAAAGGAATAATTGGTCTGGAAATGGTAGAAATCTTTAATTTATTTGTAATGTATTGCTATATCTGATGGTTTGTTGAAGCATCAGAACGGGGAAGTTACTGCTTCATGACTCTTTCTAGAGAAAGGAAATTTCATAACAGAAAATAGGTTGTCTTTCACGACAATGTAGGTTCTTTGTACATCCGACTCAGAATATTTACAGAAACACAGAACACAATTTTTCCCAGCATCTGCATAATATGTCAAAGCAAATTCATGTCCAGTTAATTGCAATTGTTATTTCAGTTTCACTATATTGTGAATTTTTTGATCTCTCCTTTGAAAATTTATTATTTTTTGGATTCATTCTCCCAAAGTCCAAAGTTATTATAAATGTATGAAAACTTCCTACTATACCACATTTCAAATATCAGAAACCGGTCTGGCTTACAGAGTTAGGTTGCTTTTTTAATACAAAATTGTTTACAGCATTGGATAGTTTTCTTTTCTTCCAAGGGTAATAGAGCAACTCTCCTTTTATTTTGGAGTTCCCTTCATATCTTTGTGATTTCAAAGTTGACTAAAAGAAATTTGATAACTGTTGGTGATTCTGAGGTCTATTCTGTAGCCTTGATCATTTTGTTTGATGTTTAGAAATACCCTTTCTACTTTGAGATTTGCTGGGTGAAATTGATGGAAAGGCATAGATCTCTAAGCAGCTGCACACATTTGGGGTTGGGTGAACAGCGAGCGACAGCTTGCTGAATCCTGAGTATTCTGGATGGGTTGCTTGGGTCGCTGTTTGCTTAGCAATGAATGCTCAGAGCTTGCCCTACCCACTGCGCTTTTTGGTTATTTAATTTTAGCTTTAGTAATAATATAAAAGGTACAGTATTATTACAAAAATTGAACAACAAACAATTTAAAATATAAGCAATTCAAATAATGTGATGTGATAGTAAAATAATGTGTAAAAGTGATAATCGAATAAAAGATTTTTACAGTTTTAAAACTTTTACTATGGTTACTTTAATTTTATAAATAGAATCTTACCTTAATGCATTCCACTCATGGTGGGTTAGAATGGTATATAATGGCAAACTTCGATTTTGAAATTGGCTTATCAGATTTCATTAATGAATTACTCGTAGATTGTGATAATTTCAGAATCTCGATACGTTCCTCTTTTCACTGGAATAAGGGAAGATCAATGAAAGAATCAATGTTAATTCTAAGCATTGATCTGGATCCAGTTACATTCAACTTCAAAACTTTGTGATTAATAGTAATGCAAATGCAAAACAAATCCTTAATTGTATCATTATTATTATTATTATTATTATTATTATTATTATTATTATTATTATTATTATTATTATAATATTGCATTTACTACTAGTGCTATCATAATTTATATAATTTTTAGACTTACAGATAGGCAGTATTATGATTCATCAAATAATGTGAACAAAACTCTTCCAAAAATTGTATAAGCAGTAAATAGCATTGTAATGTTTTATTTAAGTCCATTTTATTTGCTTATGCATTTACTGCCAGAAAGGTTGCAGTAATTTTTCTTAAAATGGGTTTGTAAACATGTAAATGAAGTATAGCTCAGAAATTTTGCTTGAAAGAAAACTTTTTTTATAATTCAAGTGAAATGCTTGTTAGGAAGTGCATTCTTTACACTCTACTTAGATGGATTTCATAGAGTGGTTGTAATGGAAAGCTAAGTATCAAAAATTGCATCTCTTATCTGAATTTGAAAAATGTTTAAGACGGTTGTCAGCACCCTGTATATAAACAGATAACCAACCTATCCTTCTGTAGTTTATGGTATTACCAAAAGTTTCCAAAGGTAAATTGTGCAAAAAACTTCAATACGGTTTTGTAGTTATTTGCTTTTGTGTATTTAATGTATACAGTATTTACTAGGCTGTCCAGGTGACGCCGTGTCAGTGACTAAGGTGCCGACGTTTTGGTCGCTATTCTGCGACCTTCCTCGGGGCGTAATGCCTCAGAGCATTTGGCCGCGGAAGGCTATGCTCTCAATGTATACGGTTTTTATCTGAATATAGGATGATGGTTTTTCCTAAATATCTCATTAAAAAAATAGAGGGTCATCATATATTCACGTAATAAGCCTAGTCATTTGAAATCCACATCAAGTAACTAGATTGCTGATGTAACAATATCCTGTAAAGGCAATAAAAAACACGTATAAATATGTAATATTCATGAATGTATTCTTGGCATTCAACAATGATTTGCCAGGCTATTCAAACAGACCCATAAAGAGATAATCTCAAACAAAAAAATCGTCATCATTCACATTCTGCATCCAACAAGTGTGATGGTCTAATTTATAGAAAATTTAGAGAAAAAAAATTAATAAAACAGGCAACCAACCTGCATACAAGTTGAAAGTAATACAGGTATAATAATTACTTCTCAAAAATGTAAGTATCGCTATTAACAATAATTCAAATACATTTCATAATAAATAAAATTGTATCCTACAGTGTTATTATAAAATATTTTAAAATTTTCTAAACTTTGAAAATTTTACCTGTTTTCTTCCAAGCAGAATTTTCCCTTTTTGCTCTCTAGGTAGAGACACAGATGTTTCTAGGTGGTGTCGGACGAAAGACAAAGCAAATTAAATGGTCAAAACTTAAGGGGGGGAGGGGGCTAAAATTCAAAGGACAACCTACTAAAGGGGAAAGAAAAAAAAAAAGAAGAAAAAAAGAGAGAGATGAAGATGAAAATTGTAGGTACAAAACTCAAAACTGATGATTATAATTTTTTAAAGGAATAAGAAAATACTGATTATTCAGGCAAAAATAGTTACACTTTTCTGTGTGTAGCTCATGATTCAACATCCCAAGAAGGAAAGGTTAAAATTTCAATGAGATCCATTTACTTTGTCTCGATGCAAATTAGAAGAGATGGTGGAAAGAGAAGGTGGAATGATCACTTACAGACACCATGGCCTCTAATGTAGGGGCTCGCTCGTACGTTTTCCTGGAAATTAACAGGGGATAGTCTGATCAGAGATGTCTACTTGCAAACTAGGTTCTGGCTGTTGCCACAAACTCGAGCCAATTTGCATCACCTAGTCAAGATGAAACTCGTTATCTTTCCGCCATTGCCAAGCTTAAATGTACACTTGCTGCCACTGATATTGATTATAATTATTAAATTCATCCAGCCCATCAGACGGTCCATTCTCATCATTTGAATGCTTTGAAATCAAAAGTGTATTTGAGGTAAAAAATTTTTGTGATGCAATTTCGTTGCTCATTATTTGTCAATAAAGGAAGTCATGCTATGTATTTTATGTTTGTGAGCATCTATTCTTGGCTTTTTCTGATATGTATTACCATATTCGTATGCCATGCAATAACCTCGGGCATAGTTCATTGACTGAAAGTACAGTGAATCTTCGGAACATTGTATAGAAATTCATATTTTGTATTAAAACTTATTTTTTGTGCAAAAAAAAACGTAGAAAATAATTTCTAACTTGGGCATTAAAGCATGATTTTCATGTGTGAAAACTTTTAGCTTCTGTCTTGATGTTTTTAGGAGCTTGTTTGCTTAGGTTTACTTAATTTTTCTCTGTTGTTTCGAAGGTTTTGTTCTAAGTCTGTTTTTCTACAGAAGAGAACAATCAATAGAACATTTATTTTAACTCTACAGCTTTCTTAGTGCATCTTAATTAATCTCTGAACCCCATCACTGCACCTCTTCTTGCATTAATGTAGCTGGGATCAAATTAGTTCATTAACTGTGTTGTGTAAAGAGTAAATTAAACATTCTTATTTATATTTTTTTATCAGAAACCCTTTGTTTTTATTTTTTTTTTATTTTTTGCCCTTCAGGGTAATAAGAGATTCTAGAACCTTGAATCTTCTTAAATAAATTCTTAACTTGCCTATTTCATTAAAATGTCCAATCATTTTTTTGAAATAGTTAAAATTTAATCCTGCTCTATTGTTTGAGCATTTTGTTTCTTCCATTTCAAAGAATCGTTCTTAATGTTGTGTTAGTTCACTAGTCCCAAAATATTTTTTTTTTTCTTCGTTATATTGCTGTACAACAGTTTATTCCTTATGAGTAAGTTTAGTAACAATATATTGATTCCAGGTCTCAGTCTACGGAGAAAAATGACAAAGGTCGCAACAAGAAGCGAGGCAGTGCAGGGGTTAATAACATTCCCTCTACCATCATCACTTCTACTGCAACCACAACTATCACTACCACAGCCACTGCTACCACCACCATCACCACTGCCACTACTGTTAGTACTTCCACTGTCACTCTCACTAGTTCTAGTGCTACTATTTCTACTGTTAGTAGTGTCAGTAATACCACTGCCATCACCACTACCACTGCCACTACTCTCACTGCCATTGCCTCTGCTACTGCTACCTCTAGTTTAACTCAAGTGACTGCTGTGAATTGTGGCAACAAGAGAGGAAGCCGCGCAAGCCATGGAAACTCTAACACACCTCCTCCGCTCCCTGTGCACCTCCCTCCATCCTCTGTTGGACCGTCGCTGCAGAGTCCTATGGTGAAGGAGTCCCCCCCAAGTAGCCCTAATTCTGAAACGACATCTGTCCACTCTGGCAGTCGTCGGAGCAAAAGCAAGAAGAGCTGCTCCAGAGAAAAGGAGGAAAGGGATCTAAAATTGTGAGTTGTTTCATTTAAATTCAGTGAATGGTTAGCACTGGGAAGCCGCACTGCTGTGGCATTAGTGCGGAATCATTTGAATGAGTTGTGCATGCCGAGTTTTTAAATTTTCAAGGATGTATCGTGTTGGCATCCTGTCAAAATTAATCCCATTTAGGGGGTTTGGGTGTAGTTCTTTGAAATGAATCACAGAACTAGATATTGGATTCAATTTTGCCAGCAAATTAAGAGTAATATTAATAGTTTTCGCTTCAAATTTTTGTGTTGTCTCTGATGTTGTTTTCTGAATTGGAAGGCATATTCATTATAAATATCTTTTTGAAAATGTATTCATTAATTTTATTGGTTTGGTTGCAGGTTTCAGAATGGTGTTAGTGCGCCACATATGTTGGGAAACCAACTGAATCCTTCCTCTACAATGGCACAAAAAATGTCAGATACTTTGTCTCAGGAACTTGAGGCTCATAGCATATTCAATGATTCAAGTAATTCTACCTCTAATTTAGTTGGTCCACCTCTTCATAGCAGAGTAATTGCCTCAGTAAGTTCACATTATCTTTTAGGTTCTTTTTAAAATATTTTAATTTAATAAATTCTCCACACCAACTTCTTCTATTAGCCTGACATTGTAAAATAAGTATAAAATCTGACACAGGTGTAGGAAGCTAAAATTTTGCTTTCAACATGCTGTAGACAAACTATAAGTACAAAATTGTTTTGTTAAAGGAATATTTCAGCTTATAGTGATTCCACTAAAAGTGTGTAGTCATTGTTTTCCTATGCAGTAAGACTTGTCTAGGAAGAATATAATCAGTGTCAGAATAATGTCATACCATAAAAAAGTGTGCCCTTCTGTAACCATCAATTGCAAGATTTTTCTCAAAATGGATATTATTAGATTGATCTGGTTCAATTTGAGGCCCAAATGATCTTTCTATTTTTATGAAGCTAAAATTTCCTCAAAAATGGCTCCCATACTTTTCTTTGAATTTCTTGTTTGAAAAGAGAAAATGGGGCTTGTAAATATTAACATTTGATTTTTCATTACAATCCCTGGATTTTTGTGACAAATGTAAGTTTGAGTTAAATCTTGGCAAGTTCTCAAAATTTCATGAACAAGATTTTCTCAAAGACAGCCCTTACTTTTCCAGAAGCTTTTAGTTAGCACTAAGCACTGAATTATATCGCAGAGGTCAAGAATGCCTAAGTTCTGATTGTGTTTTGGGTGCAAATATAAGCATCTTTAGAAAGTGAACGTGTGTGTGTATATTTAAGTATGTATATATGTATTTTCTGTGAAGTTGGTGTAGTAACCTGTTTTACAAAAAGTGTTCAAAAATTTGGTTTGAATTATAAGGTGTTTAAGATTATATATTATTGATAAAAGATGGCTATGCTGCCCTAGTCATTTACTTTTTTGTGGAAGCCTTTTGAGTGGCACTTTCAAATGATTTTTATAGGTTCGGTCTGGGCAGAACAATTCAAGTTCATCCACCTCCGCCTCAAGCAGTGCAGCAGCGGCGAATGCTGCAAGTGCTAGTGCAAGTACAAGTGTAGCGACAATACCGCAAAGTCTGGATCAGTTGTTGGAGCGACAGTGGGAACAAGGGAGCCAATTTCTCATGGAGCAAGCACAACATTTTGATAGTAAGTGTGAAGATTTTTAGTATTTAGTGTATGTGACACAGCTTCAGCAAAACATCAAAGCATGATTTTGACATCAAAACTATTACATGTGTATGTTCAGGTCTGTGTTTATTTGTATTTAGCTCTTATACATCACTTAATGCGCAATTGCTTGTTACATCACTTAATGCGCAATGCACTGTTAGATCCCAGGGTTCTTAGTCGGTCAATTAACCTGAAACCTGCGATGTCTCGAATTTGCTTAACCTTCGTGACTTCATGTAGTTAACAATTTCGATTAGTGACACTTGATTTTGTGGTTGTCTTTCTTCCTTAGAACCATCCCAGCATTTACATTTATAGACTGGTTAGATTCAATGCTCCTACCAGAGATAAAGCTATGTTGATTTGGTGTAATATATGGAGAAATTAAGTTTCTAAGTGTGTCAGTAATTATAGATTCAAGTAGTTTTGGAATGGTGCTTAAAATTAAAATAATCTGTAATTTGATATTTCATTTTTAAGACCTGATTTATGAATTGAGGTAATGCAGGCTGATTTCTATTCAACTGGAAAAGTACCCTTGGATATGGATTTTGTAAACTGGAGTTCCAGAGTATAGAACATTATATTCCTTGATGGGAAATAAATTTACATAATTCATAGGGTTTGCTAAAATTGTAGTAGAATTTATCTCTTCTGATGATGAATTTAAAAAATCTCATTACACACCAAATGCATCATCGATCCATTTTGAGTTTGAAAGATTGGCACCGAAAATAGAAGAACTTGGAGTTGATTCCATGATGGGAATAATTCCAATGATGATTTTGAAGAAAAGTAAACGGTTCCTACTATAATTTCAATATCTACAGATTTAATTACTAAAAAGATTTGTTGTGCTTAACAATTTGGTGTTTCAATATTTGTACTAACAAATTTATGATGGACCGCTATTGCAATACCATCTCCTCTCTCGAGAATACTAGTCAATGTTGATATGTCATGTCGAAAAATAATATGGTTTGGTAGATTTAATTCAGTACTGGATATATCCTCGTTCAACCATGTCTGGGTGGTTCAACCATGTAATGTGGAGAGTTTAGTTCTCAATCCTCTGACATTCTGATAATATACTGATATGTTTGTGTGCGATTGTTTGATATTTAGTTTTCCTATAAAGTTTGAGATGATGATTTATGTTTGATGGGATGTATTTACTAAAGTTGGAACTCCATTTACATATTTCAATTTTTATATCAGTATTTCCATCATCAATTTGTGTTTTCAACTTTATTAATATGTTCTTCAAATACTCTCTCTGTAACATGCAATTAGACCCAATTTTTGCTTTTCCCTTGATACTGTCTTTGCCTTTCAAAATTTGTAAAACTAATTTGAATTTGGCAATATCACTTTTAAAGGTTTTGGTGTCGATTTGTTTATGTTTGTGTTGCCAATACAAACCATTGATCGTTGATACGTCAACATCATCTAGGCTTTTATGTAGAAATGAACTCGCTATTTGTTCATCCTTGGGCATGGTACTATTTTGGTGGGTTTCTACTATATGTTCTCCAAAGTTAAGACATCCTTGTTTTAATAAGGGTTCCAAACAGTGCTGCCATATTCAATAATTGGAAAGATGAAACTTTGTTAGAGAAATTTAAATGATTCACCATGTAGATATTTAAAGGCTTTCCTCAGGAGATAAAGTTTATTATTTGCTTTTTAGTAATTTAATTAATATTTCTCACATTTCAAGTTGTCAGAAATCATTATTCCCAGGACTTTGATACTGTGGTCTGGCTTCATTCTCTGTCCTTTTAGGAAGCATGGTAAGCAAGGGTTGTTTTTACCAATGTCGATTACGGAGCTTTTTGCCTTGTTCAGAGGAATAAGCCAAGTCTGCCACCATAAAGAGATATTATCAAGGTCTCTTTGTAAGTTTGCATAGCTAGCAAACTATCAGCCAATCTCTGGATTGGCTGATAGTTTGGAATCGTTGGCAAATAGCGAGATCATAATTGGAGTGTTTTGTCCTTGTGAGGTAGATCGCTGTATGAGGTAGATCGCTAGTAAACAGAATATACATGACAGCTCCAAGAACAGATCTCTGCAGAAACTCCACTAGTCAAAGGATTGTCGCCGAATGTCTCATCCCCCACTTTCACTCTAAATGAACAGCTAGTAAGGTATGAAGATAGCTAGGCGTGAAGTCTCCCACGAACTCCAAGATGGAAGAACTTCAGCAGAAGACACCTATTGGGGACTCTATCGAAGTCCTTTGAGAAATCGAGATAGATAACATCTGTTGGATTACCAGCATCCAAATCGTTAGGCCATCGATGGATGTTCAAAAAAAGGTTTGTACTGTTGATTGGTTAGGGACAAACCCATGTTGTTCTGGTAGAATAGAACCCTTCACAAGGGTGAATTACAAATGCCTTTCCATAATAAGGCGTTCCAACACTTTACACATGGCACTAGTCAAACTAATGGGGTTGGTAGTTTCCTGGATTATATTTGTCACACTTCTTGTGTATAGAAGTTATCGCTGATGTCCAGTCAGGAAGGATGACTCCCATATTAAGTGAAGAGCGAAATAGTTGAAATAAATCTGCCGAAATTACTTCCCCACAGCTTTTCAGAAAGATAGGAATTAAACCATCCAAACTGCAAGATGAATTGATATTTAAGCGGTTTAATATGGGTAATACATCCGTTGGTTGGAAGTCGATGTCATGGAGGAAAATTTCTGTCTGGCGTGAGAGTAATATTGGAAGTGAGCCCACAGGTTCAACTATATTAGATTTTGCAAACTCTGATGCAAAGATTTCAGCAGTTTATAGTTAGTTCAGTTTTTCTTCAAGGATATACAACCATTGTCAAGCAGGTTGGTTTGCCTACGGATGTATAAATATATTTTCTTATCCTTCTTTTTTGTGATATGTTCACAACAGAGTCTGTAGATCTTAAGATGCCGTAACAAACATATATTTTAATTTTTTGACAAAGCATATTTCTGGAACTCTGCAAGGAAAAGGAAAATCACCTCTTTATCTATAAAGATTTCAGAAATTTCAACAGGTGTCATATTTTTGTATTTGTCGGCATAGTCTTGTGGAAATATTCCATCTTCTTTTATTGAATCAACTCTATTTATTGATCTCAGTCTATCCACTCACATTCCCTTTTTGTGGAATACTCCAAGAAATCATGTACTGGGCCTCCACTGCAAATTCCCGTAGACATAATAGCCTAGGCTTCACCACCTATTGATTGCCACACAAATTGTCCAGCAGACCTGCGTCCTCTTCACCAGTGTTCATCAGTTAGCTCATTGGATGTATTGGTGCAATGAAAATACCCTCTTCTGTTGTATTATCACCACTACCATCAACTACGATGCCTTGAAATTCTTCTTCAAGCAACTGAACTCTCTCTGCGACAGTGAGATCGTCTCTAAAATGGTTGTTATTCCTGATAAATGAAAATAAATATATATATTATTATGGCCCAGGTGGCAGAAGTGGTTAAATGTGAGGTTAGGACTCGGCAATTCAGAGGGAAGTGAGGGCAGGTTTGAGCCTCTCTCAGGGATAGTTATTTGTCACAACTGTGTTGGTGCTGAAAACTATTGAGAATTTTAGAAACTTTATTGATAATCAATTAATGCAATTCTACTCACATATACAATGTCTTCAATTTCTAAGTAAACTAAAAGTGTCTGTTATTTTTGTATTTTGCAATTTTTAACAAGTGTATAACTCTTGTTCTATTTGTAAAACACATGTCACATCAAATCAGTTGTTCAATATAATATACAAATCAATATAATATTGTGGAACATTTAGAAACATTGCAAGAAAGTATGTGCTTGGATAGCTCCACTAGTTTTAAGTATGCAGTCGTGCCCTCCACAGATTCACCTGTGTTGCTTTCCCAAGAACGTAAATTTTTGCCATTGCTGATTAGGCAGGTGTCATCTGCTTATGATATTAACGAGACCTTTTGGAGTATAGGTAAATCATTTACAAATAGAATAAACAATGGGGTACCAAGAACTGCTCCTTGCAGGACACCAGTTGGTACAATTTGGAAATCGGATTTGAATGTAATTGGATGATTCCCAGTAGATTTCAGTGCATTGCTTGCAATTGAGCAAGTAGTATTTGATCAGTTCATTTACTGTAAACCTTATGACAACATTTCAATTTCTCAAGAAGTGTATTGTGACACATTATCAAAAGCATTTGACAAATTTAGAAACAGACCTGCTGTCATTGTTTTCCTTAAACTGTTTGGCTTGACACAGGGGGAATTTAAGACAGTTGAGTGATGAGCTAGTAAAGTAAAAGCTCATAAGTTAGTATGCCTCAGAAATCCTATCATCTGATTAGTAGAGATGCGTTTTTTTAATTAGCAAAAACCAACAACAAGCAAACAAACAACAACAACAACAACAACAACAACTCAAAATATGGGACAGGTAAGTGATGAGCATGGCAAACTTTTCACAATGGCATTGCTGTGATTGAAAAGCAGTTTGAGGGAAGGTAGAACTGCGGAATGTTGGTAGAATATCATTGAAATTTATAGAGAGTATTTTCTGATGGTGAACACAAATGAAAAAGTATTTAATTCTTATTTTGAAGTACTCTGAAGGTTGATATACAGGGTGGCCACTTTCTAGAAAATCAGGAAAAGTCAGGTCCCAAAGTCAGTTATTACTCTGGGAAAGTCCGGGGAAAATCAGGGGATTTGTAGAAGAGTTCTTGTAAGTCAGAGAAAATTTGCATATTCTTATAAAACTAGATATTTCTTAGTACAACTTATAATCTTAGTACGATATAATCTTTACTCAGTTCTTATTTGTTGAGAAAATATTATTAATGTGTACTTTCTCTTGGCAAAAGCAGAGAGCTGACCAATTAGTTTAGAGATACTCAATAAAGGAACCACTTTAACAGGTCAGGAAGCAAATGAACGTCATGCAAGGCACAAACATTACAAGAGATACGAAACCATTTACAAATGAGCTAAGTGTAAACCAACACACTGACAAAATGAGTGCATGGACGTAACTTGCAGTTATATTCGCAGCTGTAGCCAAACAGTAGCTGTCAAAGCGGTTCCTTCTTTTAGTAATCTCTCTTTACCTGGCTGGCTTTAGTATTTTCTTTAAGTAGTGTGAAATTAAAAATATTATAAAAAGATTTTAAAAAATCCACTAGAAAACTGGGAATAGTCAGGGAAATTTGTCTCAGGAAATGAGTGGCTAGCCTGATATATATTCTGAAAGTGTGAAATATTATATTTTGAAAGGAAGGAAAGCAACTGTTTCTTCAAAATGGTATGTGATAAAGTATTTCTACTTTCTATTCCTGATACCCCTTATTCGAGAAATAGAAATCACATACTTTAATTCAGAGGGTAATAAAGAAGTTAAACATGTATATTTGGATGTTTTATGTCCTATATACAGAAATAAATTAATAAATGATTTGTATCTTTTCTTACTTTAGTTGCATCATTGCTGTCATGTCTCCATCAATTGAGAGCAGAAAATTTACGTTTGGAAGAACACGTTAATAGTTTACTGCAACGTAGAGATCATCTCCTTGCTGTTAATGCACGGCTTGCCATACCTCTAACATCTCAACCCCCTGCACAAGGTATTATTCGGTTTACTTACATATTTATTTATTTGTGTAATTCTAATTGCCTACTTTATAATAAACATGTACATAATTTTTCATTTAGTAAATTAAATGTACTTGTTTATTCCATTAAAAATCACTTTATTAATTGCTCATGTGCACTTTAAACTTCATAAAGCCAATCAAAACTCCAGAACAGGTTAAAAATCATATAATTAAGTCTCTATGGACCCAAACAAAAATAAATGTACATCAAAAATCACGTTGAACAGTTCAAAATATCTAGGAAATAGTTTAATTACTGCTATCACCATTATGAGTACCACCACTATGACTACCACCAGTTCGACTTCCACCACTATGACTACCACATCCATGACCACTACCACTAAGACTACCACATCTACTTCTTCTATTTCTATTACTACCACTACCAACCTCACTACCACTACCCCCCACCCACCACCACTACCACTACTCCCCATCCCCCCATCCACCACTAAAATATTATTTTGTGTTATGTGATTTGGGTTGCTGTAGCCTCCATAGACAAGTGTGAATTCATTGTTTATATGCTTGGTTTTTCTGCAGTTAATAATGTGCATCCCAGTGCGGGAGCAGCCCCACATCACCAGGAGCCTCCTCGGGCCACGAGAGTTAATAACAGTTACCTTCCACACCCCATGGAAAATGGGTTGCCTCCCGAGCCCTCTCCTCCGGCAGGGAATTTGGCCTATCCACATCAGCATCGAAGCCCTTTAGCAGCTAATGCTTCTCCTGCTGAGCGTAATATTCCTCCACAGCCCAGCTCATCCATGAGGTATGTTATTTTATATTTTATTTTATTTGTAATGATCGTACAGAGTAAAAAATTAAAAGGTGCAGGTTGGCAAGAGCATCTGAGTTGTGTGCCATTTCTCTTAAGATACAGTGTTAATTTATGATGTGTGTTATGTGACTCGTGTGCACAGGCATCATTGCAGCTGATGTCATTAGCATTAGGTGGCGCACGTCAACACAACATTTGTGTGACAAAGGTCAAATTGTCATTGTAAGTGTCTGATTTTCTCGAGTTTCAATATTTCCTTTAAATTTGCCGAATTATTATTATGCTTATTGGTGAACAGTATGTAATGTTGCACCAGCGACACTATTGTTCATCCTGTTTGTACAAAATTCCAAAATCCCATTTCAATGCCTTGCATAGCAATGAAATTAAACAACCTGATTACTAAATTCAAAATAAAAATTCTGTGGGTTCCTCTGCGATAAAGTAAATGTTCTTACTTATTGGTCACCTATGTTATTTTGTACATTACAGTCTTAAAGGGACTTACATTATGAATGTATAAGCGTGAAAAACATACAAATGTAAAACACATACCTGAAATAATTTAACAATGAAAGTACCCGAATTTATCCGGGACTTCCAGAAAACAACATATAAACGTGAAAAATGTATAAGTATGAAACATATAAATGAAGATTCAGTGTATTATTAAGTGCTTTTTCTTGTAACGTCTGTTGTTTCTTGTTACTGTTGTTTATTTAATCTTTAGATTTCTCATTAATTCAATATGCTGTCAATGCAGCTAGTTAGTTCTCCCCAACAGCCATGCCTTAAATGTCAACTCTGCTATAGACTGCATTCTATTCCAGACCCAGCCCTGCATCTGGAGGGTACATGATGAGTCAATCCCCTCTGAATCCACCTGCACCACAGCCACCACCTGCTCCAGGGTCTGCTGCTTCAACTCCAGGAGTTGTCAGGAGTACCTCAGGAACCCCAGAATCCATGAGAAGTGGTGATGGAAGAAGGTGAGAAGTATATGTAATTTATGTAAGGGGTATTAAAAACATTTTTCATGTATGACATCTTGTAACTCGTCTAAAAGAATTTGTAAAGGTCTGTTGTAAAGGATAGTTCGTGGAACATAATGTTCGCTCCACTACGCCTATATCCACCCCTCATTCCATAGAAAAATCTTGGTTGTGGCATTTATTCAAGCAAATCCTTGCAGTTTCTTGCAACTTTTATGTTTGTGATTTGTATCTTTCTTGTGCATGCTTCCGTTATTTCATCTCAGTACACCAAGGTAGAGTGAAGCTCATGATATTTTAAATTTAGTGGATGAGTATTGAGAGAAAGAAAAGGTGCCCCCTTTATTTCCTGCATCTGGAGTTATTTTCAAAACTGCCACCACATTAAAAATTAGTAAGATTTCAGTGATTTTAACTGAGGGAAAAAAATCATTTAGAGGAGAAGTATGAAGTGGGTTCCTCAAAGTTAGAAACATCTGGCACGTTTTCAATTGATAATTGATAACTTTAATGGATAATTTTTATACGGTGTCTCTGAGGAAATTAGTATGATTTAATTTGAAAACAAATAGTAAATGGATTTTATAACAAATTGTGTTTTTTCTATTTCATGGACCTTTTTCTAATATATGTTTGTTATTCTAAGTGTTTGTTTATACAAACATAGCAATGTGTAGATTACTCATATGCAATAACTATGGTCATAGTCATGTCCTTATTACAGTGCTGTTAATAGCTACAACAAAGGCAATTACCACTGTTTATAGATCTTGTGACAAGTAATAGCGATACCAATAATTTGAAAATGCCTTCACTAAGCTCTGGGGAATGAAATTAGTAATGGGGATAAAGGAGTGGTGTTTACTTTTGACAGTGACACACACTCTGAATGGGACTAGATCTTCAAGTGGACACTACAGTTTTCCCCTGTGTGGTTAAGTTACAATTTTGCCCTAAAACAAAATAATTGTCTAAGTTCCATGCTCTTCAAACACTCTGACATTTAACACTTGGAAATTTGTAGCATACTTCATCATAACATTTGTATTGGTATTGGTATAATTGGAGTTTGTATATTGTCAGTAAATCAACTACCACTCGGTGTGTCTTCTAATAAACGTTACAAACATTTTGATTACAGAGGTCACCATTCTGAAGATCAATACTGTGATTAGATGGCAAAATGATATGTCACATTGTCATGACATGAAACACAAAATGACATACTAAGTCACTCTTGTTTGTTAATATTTAGGGGGAGCTTAAAGCTTTATTTCTCTTGGAGGTAATGAAAAAACAATGGTGTCAAATTTATGTATTTACGTCAAAAACTGTTTGTTACATGCTATGGGGAGAAGTTAAATTCTAGTTACATTTTTGTCCAGAAGCAAAACAAGGGGCCACCACAGCATTTGCTCAAGGATCAGGGAAATTGGACAAAAACCTGATCGAGATGGGAGTCATTGACCCAGACAATTGCAATGAGAAACAATTTTTTCTCTCTCTCTCTCTCTCTCTCTCTCTCTCTCTTCTCTCTCTCTCTCTCTCTCTCTCTCTCTCTCTCTCTCTCTCTCTCTCTCTCCCTATCTATCTCTTTCTCTCTCTCTCTCTTTCTCTCTTCCTCTCTCTCCCCTCTCCTCTCTCCCTCCCCTCTCCTCTCTCTCCTCTCTCTCCTCTCTTCTCTCTCTCTCTCTTCTTCCTCTCTCCTTCTTCTCTCTCTCTATCTCTCATCTCTCTCCTCCTCTCTCTCCTCTCTCTCTTTCTCCTCTCTCTCTCCTCTCTCTCTCCTCTCTCTCTCCTCTCTCTCTCCTCTCTCTCTCTCCTCTCTCTCTCTCTCCTCTCCTTCCTCTCCTCTCCTCTTCCCTGCTCCTCTCCCCCCCGACACACACACTTAAAAAAGATTCATCATCCTGAAACAATTGTTATTCTTCTGCCTGGTTTGTGTGCTGTATCATGTTTGTACATTTACATAAAATCTATTGATATTTTTAATGGTGATGACTGAAAAAATGTTTAATGTACATGTCAGTATTCAGTTCTTCAACTTTGCTTGTCAGTTTGACTGAATAAATGAAAACTAAACAAAGGACTGAGAGTATTGTATAGAAGTTGAGTGTCCTCTTTTAGAGATTCAGTGATCTTTAATGGTTGTAGATCTGGCAGTTATCCAGTGTATCCAGTGGCTTCCCAGAATGTGTCACAGGTGCCTGTAGTAACAACACAACAGGTAGGTAGACCACATGTTAAGCAATTCATTAAGCTTTATGGTAATGCAATGATTTTTTTTTTCAGTAAATCTAAATTAACAGCCATGTTCATTTATGTGATTCTATGATTTTCTTAATAATTTTTCACTTGTAAATTTCTCATTGAACTGCTCCCAATCAAAATTATTATTATTAAAAATTCAAGTTCTGATAGATATTTTTTGTTTAAGTGGTCATCAGCAATTTGAAAAAGACTTGAGTTCCTGGTTTCACAAAAATACATTTCAAAATATAGTTGAATAATAAATCCATATATTATAATCCATTTTGTTTGACTTGGATGAAATGAAAGTGTATTCCTGTGGAATACTTCTCTATTTCATTTATATTAATTTGTTTATTTACAAAAATTTGGCTAGAATATCATTGGTATATTTTTTCTGATAAAGTTGATGGAAGCCTTCGCAATATTATTCTGGTCAGTTGAATTTACCAGGGCAAATTCCTCTCTTAGTAATCTTAAATAACCCTTTTTAGGATTGTACAAAATGACCATAACATCAGGAACAGGCTATGTCTGCTCACCATGTCTGGATATGCTGTGGCAATCATGAAAATCCACCTGAGGGTGAGTTGTGAGACCAAATACATCACGAGTTCAGTTTGCCAGTTCAGTCTCACTGCTGTAGATATTCTGAGTGATGATGAGTTGTGAGTGTCTTGTTAGAAATCCAAGGAACACCACTGCTTTTTTTGTTTTTCCATTTTTACTTAATGCACTTTTCAGGTTGAATTTTCTGGTGAATTTGTAACCTAGTTTTAACTGACTTTCTCTTCTGCTTATACATATACTTCTTTCAGGATATGCAGTATTTATTTATTTTCCCTCTATGGTTTGTGTGTATGTCTGTGTGCTTAATTTTGTACATTGACCTATCACTTGTACCTAATAGCAATGCAATGTCAGTCTATTAGAATACATAAATAAAACTTCAAAGATTTTTGGTTGCAAATTCTTTTATTTGAATATTACAATGAAACTAAAACTCTGTATTGGATACAAGGGCTGTTGTTGAATTTAAGAGAGTAGTTAGTTATCATTTCAAGTTTTATCAATTATTATTAAATAGTTATCAACTTTTTGTAATTTTATAATTCAATTTACAAAGGTGAAGTAATGGAATTTAAAAACAAATATAATGTGTAGACATTGATTTGGCAGCAAGTGGTAATGGGATGGTAATCGTTTCAATGCATAAAAATTCTTTTGAGTTTGATACTTATAAGAATGAATTAAAACTTCAAAACTCTGTGTCATGGAAGTAGAATCAAAGTTGTGAAGAAATAAGAGAGAGAGTGATTTCTAGGATTAGCACTTGTGGGAATTCTTTATTGTAGAGGGCTATTTATCCATGTAAATGTTCCCTCAATTAGGAATCTTAATAGAATTTGTTTTGCATGATAGTTTATTAGTATAAATACAGTATTGAAAAATTTAATGAAGTATTGGAAGTACTACCCCTTTAAATATTTGCAAGTAATCTCCAACATGAAAACCTCATAACACTTTTCTCTCCTGAAAGAATAATTTTAAAAGTATATTTATTAAAAGGTAATATTGACTGAAGTTAATATTAATGACCATGAAGGCAGCCTCAGGGGAAAAGCAGTTCTGAGATTTTTATTTAATAAAGAATGAAAGTGGTGATTGTTGTGTTTTAGATTATCTGCTATGAGTGTTCATTTTTTTAATATTTTTTAACAAGCTGGAAGTTTGCATGTGATTTGTGATTTTGAAGATGTATTAAATTTTTTAACTTGTTAAGTGTACTAATTTTTGTTTTCATTTTTTGAAGATGGTTCGACGTGATGCAATGTCAGATCTTCATCTCAAGATGCCATCATCAAAGCCAGGTTGAAGAATCTAGTACTTAACTTCCTCAGTGACAGTAATGCATCCTTTTAACAAAGTGTTCAAAAACATTATGAATAGTTTTACTTTTCAACTGTACATAGTACTGTTTATGTAAATATTGGATATAATGAAGCACAGTGCGCGTTCAAATAATGCTGTAAGCATTAATATGAATATTGTAAACACTTGTGTTAGTCCTTGCTCTTCATTTTTAATACTCAATTTTTATGCTTTTCTATTCTATTTTACTCCTTTGTTTATTCTTGTTCAGGCAAACAAGAAACTTCAGTAATTCTGGATTTGAAATGCATAAAAAATGTTGAAACTTGGTTTTCTGAAATATAAAATTTTTGAGTTAGTAAATTATACAATTTTTTTTTTTTTTTTTTTTAATTTAACACTAGAAAGCTTAAGGTGAAGTTTTGTGAATTCTGCCGTCTTCACTCATGTTTCAACTTTGTTGCCGTGATGTTGTGGTTTTCTTTGGAAACTGGATGTGATGTCTTATCCAAGTTTTGTCAATAAAAATTAAATCATTTGCCTTGTTTTTGTGGAAAGTTTTGTGCAAAATTTAGTCCTGGGACTTCATGGGTGGACAGTGTGTAATAATTATTATAAATATGTTTACATTCATGTAAGACCATGAGTCCAATGGATTCACTTTACACCCTTACAGTGGCAATACCTTATGCTTTCTCGGGTTAATCATGAATTTCATTTCATAAGTTGGATATGTTTATCATGGATGATTTACTCCAGTTGACAAACATAATTTTACCTTGGGAAACTAATGAAATCTGTGAGTGTATTATTTATTTTATTTTAAATTTGTTATGATTTAATATGTGTAGATAGTGTGTTTGAAATCTGTAGGGGATGGATTTTGACTGAAACTTGAATAGTGATATTAGATCAGTTATCATAATGCACACAATTCAGTGTTTTTCACTGGAGTATCCTCTGTAAGGATCTGTGTATCTAATGTAAGTTATGCCATTTGTTGGCACAAATCTGACATGTTATCAGTATTGAATATTTCTGAAATGGTGGTTCTTTTTGCTACAGCATTATTTGAGTATGCATTTAATGAACTGTTATTACTGTACAAAGTGACTAATGAGCATAGTAGTGAAATACAGTGTGGACAATTTGACATGTACAGTTTTAGAGACTACTTCAAGAATCAGTGTTTGCAAGAATGTTGTATGAGAGTATTTTTTGTAAAAATATATCTTACAGTCTAACAGTTCCTTACCAATGAATCCTTGCTGGGATGATGCACATAAACAATTAAGCCTATAAATTTGGAAGGCAGAGAGCATTTTGTAAAGTATTATGATTCAATTCACGCCATTGTGATTTGCAGAAACAAAAGTCATTGTTCCTTTATTTTAAACTTGATGTAATGTAGAATTAAAAAGGCATATCATTTCTCTTGCTATTCAAGAATTAACTAATGATTTTTTTTATCGTATTAAAAAAGATGAAAATTGCAACATAAATGATCTCTTCCCTTATTGTTTTTAATTATGCATTTCTCCCTTTTTATAAAATGCAAGTTTCCTTTCTCTTAAATTTTTGTTGTGGCTGCATTTACAAATAACAGTTTTTACATTATTACATTTACAAATTACATTATTATAAAATTGTCCAAAAAAAATACTAAAATGTTCTAAGTCGCTTTGTGTTGTTTTCTGTGCAATAGCATCTCCAGTTGAGTTCCAGTAAGTTTATAAAAATAGGGTGTGCAAAGATACCTTTTTATTAATTTGCTTCACGAGATTGCTGTAAACTTGAGATATATTAAATTTTGAAAGAAATTATTTTAAAATATTAGAATTTGAAATGTTTTTAATCGAAAGGAAGTTCAGTATGCAGAGTTTGTTTTTCAAATACACCCCAGGAAGAGTGAAAAGTATATAAATAATTAGTGTCTCCAGAAATAACTTAAAGGTAATTGATATTACTTGTACCATAATTAATTTTCTCTGATTTTACTATTATCTATAGATTGAATTAAAATCTGTCTTTGTAAGCAAATGTGTTTTGGGATCAGGGTTTTTTCTTTTTAAAAATTTGCCAACAAATTATGATGTGATTGAGATGCATTTGTTCACAAGCCACAAATATACAAAGATATTTTTAGTTTCTAGAAGCATTGAAAAAAAAAAACTGCCAAAATATGTAATTGGAGACCACTGGCAAACTTATGAATTCAATAAGTCTCAAACTTTGATAGCCCAACTACTGTTTGAAAAGAATTTCAAGATAATTCTAATTAAAATTGTTGATTTAATTAGGTGGTATTGTGAAACAAATTTATATACAGCATTTAAAATTCATCTTTGTAGTTATGGTAACTGAAAAGGGAATTTTGAGTGACTCAGAGGTTATGGCAATGAAAGCAGCTGTTAACCCCATATGATTAATATATGGATTTCTTAATTTTTAGAGTAAAATTTTTAATGCTGACATTTCAATTGAAGGCTGTTTCATTTGCAAGCAGGTTTTCAATTCAGTCATGTGTGAAAGAATTAAAAAATTAAATTTGATTTGCTTAAAATATTCTTTGTTTATTGAGTGTTATTTTTTTTTTAATTAATTTGTAAAGATATTTATGGTCCATTGAATCTTAAAATTAATTTGCAGAATTAAGGACTGTTAATAAAAAAAATTGAATTTGCATTTTTTATTAAAAATGCAATTTAAAATTCTTGTTTGGTGCCTGAAATCAGGTTAAATTTTATGACAGAAGGTCTCTATTTGCTAATGTACTTGTTTCTTTTAATTCTATAAATTATGCCAAATCCGAAAGCGAGAATGAATATTACTTTTAAGTTTATAACTGTCAAAGATGGGGAAAAGGGAAAATAATTTGCATATTAATGCCATAAAGTAAATGCTGAAATTGAAGGTACATCATTACTTGATTTGAACACTGAGTTTTCTGTCTAGAGAAAAGTGCTGAGTTATAACTACTGTAGAATTAGTACCAAGCTTGTATTAAGAGGTCGATATTTCAGTATCAACAGTCCAAGTTTTCGAATTATTGCATTATTTTTTGTAGTCGTATCTCCAGTGAATAGTAATATTTTATTAAATTATTATTTTGGATGTGGAGGTAAGCTCTTTCAAAATTGCTAAGTGAATTAAAATGAATATTTGTTTCTTTTATGTTCCAGTACTTGTTTTGTAAAATGATCGCATTTTACTAATTGTCCAACCGTAAACTTTTCTGGTATGAAATTATCACTACCTTTGAACATCAGTATTCTATTAGTTGAATATTCAGGATTGTGCAATTATTCCAAGTATTGCAGTTTTGCATCTGGGTGCTCTTTGAAAGGATATTTACAAACTTTGTTTTTTCTTATAGTGAAAATGTGGAATGTTTTATTTATTGAAATTATGTCTATGTGACGCCTCTTCCACTGAACTTTGCATCCAGTAATAAAAGCAGTAATTCTTGGAGAAACTTTATAAATATAACTTAACTATTGAGAAACAATATTGGTAATTTTTCATTCTGTACAAGTTTAACATTTAAGGCCTATAACTAAATTCACTGTTCTTTAAGAATGGTTTTTATGTAGCAGTCAGTGTTACATGATTAAATCAGTACAATTGTTGTTTTGTCATATATAGCAAGAATTTAAGTATATTTCTGGGAACTTATTCTTCCATTCCAAAACAAAATTCTTTGAATATTGAATTTTTGTATCTAATATTCTTCACAGTGAAAGAATATTTCAGCTTTTCTGTGTAATTTTTGTCCTGACTTTACACTTTAACTTCCTTTCAATTCTAAGTGGACTTTCATGCTTTGAAGTTATTACTACTCAGAGATAAACTATTTTTAATTAATGAAGTATATTTTCAGAATTTAAAGTATGATTAATGGCAGATGTACCTGAAATTTCTCTAAGACAGTTTAAGACAAAAAAATTCTTTCACACTATAAAAAGTGAAGAAACCAAGTGTATGTATTTCAATTTAATGCTCTTTGCACATTTGGGAATTTCATTAATGACTTCTTACCACCCATGGCATGTGTGTAACACACAAGTATCTAGACAGATTTATAGAATAGGATCTCCTTTTCCCCCCTCTTTCTTTTCATCTTCATTATCATCTTCGTTGTTTTTCAAGTTTGCTTAAATCTTCTTGAGGCACTTCATATTTTTCACATGAACAACCATGATTAAGGGCTTGTGTATGCAAAAAGCGCCTATAATTCTTGTCAAATTCCCTTTATATCATTGTGAAATGCGTAATATTATACTCTACAATAACAGAAGTATTCAAATATCAAATTATGATTGGGAAGAAATATACTTTACAAAATGTGTTTGCATGCTGAGGTACCTATTTCATATAGAAATTCGTCAGGTTGGGAAAGAAACCTATTGGCAGCTCATGTGCATTCATGGAAATGTTTAATCTTCTCAATGAAGATGTTTTTAAACTAGTGTATAACTTTTGTGATCAAATGAATTTAGTTTCTTAAAAGATTGTAAGAATGAATGAACTGAAGAAAAGTGTGTGTGTGTATTTTGTTTATAATGTCAATTAGCAACAATTGGTGTTCATCATGCTAGTGTCATAAAAGTTAATGATTGTGAGAAAATTGTGCAAAGATATGCAAGATTTATCCTTCACGAAGAGGTTATATCTGCAACTTTGATTTTAATGATCTTGGTGCAATATGAGTTAAGTTAAAATAGTATATTTCATATAATTAAATTTAAATGTAATCCTCTAATCACAATACACATTAAAATGATGTGTATGTCATTTGAAATGGCAAGTGAGTAAGAAGATACAATTCCACATTGTTGCATATATGGGAACATTCCTGGTTTGAACTTATTTTACTTAGTAAATGTGGGTGCATTACTTTACATTTGATGTTTTAGTTATTACTATTTGTTTTTCAAATCTCATGTAAATGAGATTAATTGTTTGTAAATAGTTTTTTTATTAGATTAGCAAATGCTTTGTTTGGAGTCTATAGTTATTGTGAGATAGTGTGTTCTTTGAATTAATTTATTCATTATTTCTTGTTAAGATGTTTTTGAATAAGAAACTGAAAATGCTTACCCCAAGTTCCTCCCTCATCAGGCAAAAGTTAAATGTTCACTTTTTAAACTTGCAGCAGAATTGATTAATCACTTTCATGTATAATTGCAATTTATGATCATGTGTGTTGTGAGTATGACCATGCATTCTCATACAAAATACTCCTGTGAGTTTATGTGTGCTCTGTGGTAATTAAAATTGAAGTTGATTTGAGATGAAAGTTGCTTAATAATGGAAATGGTTCAGTTTTGTGGTGAGAATAAAAATTCAAAAACAGTTTATTCGCTAAATTTTAATAGGTATTTTACTAGATAAGTTTTCAATAACTGACATTCTTGCAACTTAAACTTTTTCTAAACCTATAATTCTCAAAAGTTGAAGCAAAAATTCCCTTTGTTAATATAAAAGTAATTACGTAGTGTCTTTCTGAGTATTAAAAATGGAACTCAAACTTAGTTGTATTCTTGGTTGAAACTAACCGGATTTTAAAATGATTGTGAAGTGACACAGAATATCAATTGTTCATTTGGTTTCGTTTATGGACTCAAAACTCAAACAAAGAAAAGAAGAAAAATCCCTCAGAAATGAAAAAGTCTTTCATTCCAAATCCACTTGAAATGTTTTATCATATTTTCTTATTAAATAAGTGGGAGTATTCATTTACAGTTGCTCAAATTATGCAAGATTAATTAATCTCCAACTAAATGCTGCAGTATTAAAGATTCACTTCCTTCAAAGTTTTAGGACATTTTTGTAAATAAAACTTTTCTGAGAATACAGATTCATTTTGTACATTGTGTGCCATTTTTGAGGTTCTGGTATTCATTAATAGTGGAGAAAATTTACCAATTTTCTCAAAGTATTTTATATGATTGCATTGTACAATATTGTGTGTTATGAGATTTTTTTTGTTTTGTTTTTTACTTGTCCCATTCACTGCCATAGTACTGTAAGATTGTAGTTATTTACCATTTGTCTCTAAGACATCTGTTATGTTCTTAAATCAAATGTTACATGATCAAACTTTTTCTCTTGGTATGATTATATTATTTTTAATGTCATTAGAGTTGAATTTACAAAAACAATACCCTTTGAAAAGTATCAAAGGAAAATGTGCAAATTTTATTGTATTCATTTTTGAAAGAATTAGTTTTATATTTCCAGAGACAATTATCTCTTAAAATTGATTGACTTTTCCTTCCTTTTGTCACGCACACACAACTGGAAAGTTGTAATTTTGATGTGATTGAGATTTGAGAATACTGGTAAGGTGCACAAGAAAAACATTTGGGAGTTATGTATTGTGTATTGTTCCTTTGAAAGTATGGATTGCAATATTTGCAATGATCAATTTAATACTTAAAAAATTGGAAAATTAACTTTTTATTTGAGTGTTTCTCTTTACAGAGATGAAAGAAAAATGTAAATTGACTGAAATCAGCTTGCAGGAAAATTAACTTTTCAGGAACATGTGAAAATGTTATACCTCATTGTAGTACTAGTCATTTGTTCAGTGAGCAGCAGCGTGTTTTGAAAGGCTTTCTTTCATGTTTTTAAAAACATTGGACCATATATCTAATACATTTCTAATTCTGGCATGTCACACCAGTCTGTCAAATTTCTTATGTTCTTTAATTATTTAATGAAAGCTATGTGTTTTGAAATAAAAATGAGAGAATTTTATTTTTCTTTCATTTTATGCATGCTGTCAGTTCATCTTATGATAAGGCCATTTTTTTAAAGTAAAATATTTAATACTTTAATACTTTTTTATACCATTAATATAATGGTATATAATTTTAAATATGAAGTGAGTTATTACAATTTTTTAATGACTTCTTTTTTGCCTAACATGAAAATCATGACATTATTAAATTCAGTATATTTCTTTGTTTTTTAAGAGCAAGTTTAAATGTTAACAAATGTAACTGAACAATTTATTAATAACTTATTTTAAGATATTAGTGCTTGGAGTACTGGCAACATGAATTTAATTTGTGTTGCATTTTCTGTTTACCAAGAGAAGAAATTTGTGTACTCTGTAACAAGTTGTATTTTGTATTGTAATTATTATACGTTTCTTTGTATCCATTGAAACATTTCGAGAAATTAATACTGTAATTAATCGTTTTGTACAATTTCAAACACTTCTTTTTTATGAGAAGATTTCACTCCCTTCCATTCTTCCTAAATCAATTCAAAGCTTTGAGATATCTTCTGAAATATGGCACTAATAGTAGGAGTTGGCTTCCATTTTAGTAGGATTTGTTTGAAGTTTTGTTTGTGTACCTCAAGTTCTCATAGTGCATTAACAAAATAACTTACTTTGAGTACAGGGATGTCGATGAGGAACATTTATATCAATTTAATGAGTTCTGTGGGTTTTTTCGTTTCACTAAAAATGAAATTATCTTTGAGAGATGATTATAAAAG